ATTAATTAAAACAAACTCTGCAAATTACTTTAGATTAGTAGTTTGCTAACTAAAAATGGATGGATTTCTCTGTGTAATTCTTCTTAATGATATTAAAAAACTAATAATTTATATGTATAGTAATATGTATTTAAATTTTATTAATTAATTAACTTTGTAGCATAATTAAGCATCAATTAGGTACTCCTTGAAAAATCTTGACACTTCATTCAAAGTAATTGCTATAAATGAATAATGAGTTAAAACAACACATAATTAAATGGTTTCACGACGTAAGTTATTTCGCTTTGTTGGGTTCTACGCGAGTGAACATTTTGTGGCAAGGAATGCTAATTATTACTACTTTTTTTATTAAATAACCGGTCACCGGTGCACAGTAACATAATTTCACTTTCATATTTTTGATAATTTGTGACATGATTGCTAGAAGTAAAATGTAATAACTAAGATTGAAACTAACTCGGTAGTTTTACCTACCATGCGGACTCTTTTCAAGTCTCTACAATAATACTGATGATTTTATATGATTGAATGATGATTCATAGATTTTGTGCTATACTGTCATGACTATGAAGAATGTATTCTATCGTGATTGTGGCGAGACGTGTAAGCAATATTTTAGCCAGACATGATTATGCTGAAGCTATTTTTGGTTGCCTTTGGTCGCACTTCGGAACTTATTTTTGTAAGCCTAGGCGCAGACCATCGAGTTTTCGTCGGCCGATAGTTTAGTCGGGTAGTTGATCAGTATGGGCATGTATGGAAGTGTGCACATTACACCGATTTGATTTGGACGATTCTTCATACAATTTAAAATCGGGCACAACTATCGGCCAACTAAAAATCGGTGGTCTGCGCCTAGAATGTGACGTTTGTAGTTTGTAACGGGACAATATTATTTGATCCTCTAAAAACTAATTGATCTTTTTTGTATGTGCACTTTTAAAAATAAATGATGTTTTTTATTATATTTTATCTTTATATTATTTATTGGGTCTATATTAGTTGATCTACGGATAAATTATGAATGATCTTCATTAAAGGTAACATAATATTTATGTTTAACATACTCTTTTAATATTTGGTAAACAAAAATAATATTTGATCCTCTTTTTTAGTTATTGATCTTTAATTTTGTTAATTTGATGATTTTTATATCAAGTTTGCCTTTTAATATTGATCACCTAATAAATACATTTCGATCTATGTATAACTTAACTTTAAAATATATTTGATCTAACAAAAAATATTATTGGTTAATATTTTTAATTAAAAAATATCTTTTAATTTACGCGGTACTTTGTGGTTGAGTGACAATCGTCCGTCATTGGTTACTGAGTTGGCCAAGGGCTTAGCGGCCAATAAGCAAGCAGAATGGTACATTGCCATGTTTGTTTAAATTACAAGCTTTGCTTAGTTTGGGACTAGAGGCGCTATGTAAAATAATTTCTTACTTCTGACATCCCTGAACCCGACATCATAATTTTTACCTCTTTATTTTTTTCAAATCGCAAGGTTGATTTTCTCTTAGTATACCGATCTCGACCGTGATCAGTGACCATAAAGTCATCTGTCAACGGGTCGATTAGACACGATAAAAGCACTAAACGATATTTGTTTACTTTTAGTGCGACATCGGGTCGTAAGGACCTGATAAGTTTTTTTTTCCAAATATTTACTGTGTTTGACGAAACAATTGCAAAACAATATTTATCTTTCGTACTACTGAAAAGACCGAATATATCCATCCCGCACCAACGCATCCAGCACCTAAGGTCAATTCGACCCGATAACGCAGTGTGAACGTGTTAAGTATGCTTTTTTAATAAAAAAAAATCTTTGAACATCAAGTGCCTTTAAATAGTTTCCATCCTTTGACTACAACTTAATAAAAATAAGTACCATAACATAATTATTTTGAAGATTATTTGATATAGACAAAAAATAATTTATACAAATCGAATTATTTAAAAAAGTATCACAATATTGAATATTTGGTGCTCATTTCTTTTATTTTTGAGGCCCAACAAGTAACGATCAGATATAATTTTTACATCTCAATTTTTTTTTGCGTAGTTCAAAAGAGGTTAAAATATCGATCGATTTTATTTATTTTATGTCTCAAAGAAAGAGGATCAATCATTAAAATAGATGACCATTTAGATTTTTTTATTTGCCGTTTTTGCTAATTTAAAAAGATCATTTAAATACATGCCGTTTGTAACTTATAACTCGTATTTTCAGAACCAACTTATTTTCTTATAACGCGAGGATCTGTAATATATATGTTACTTATAATATTATAATAAAACCTGATCCAAGTAGTAACGAAGGAAGTTTTTGGACCGTGATAACGTTTCACGGCTGAGATGGTCTGGAGTTTTATACGACAGGACCAAGGTTGTAGAAGGGTAAGCAATTTTAAACTTAGACGAAAGTTTTGATATAATAATTCAGACGAAAAGTTAGGCTACACGCACGCAAACTTCTATAATTGATTTAATATTTACTTAATACGAACTATACGACTTCAACTTGGAGGCACGATATCTTAAGATATCCTCACTAAGTAGTAAGAAAACGCAAAAGTACAGTATATTGTAAAATTCTTAGTATTTTTTTAACAAAACTTATCTGAAACGGCTTGACTGGTTCTCCTTTTGTGTGTTTAATTAAACAGTAGGTAGATCATAGGACGTAAACTATTTTTCATTCACCTAGGCGATAAGGGTTTTCCCGTGTAGGAAGTCGCGGGCATAGCTATAGGCACGAATTAAATAAAACTATTGTTAGGTGCTTGTGAATAAATAGAAACAAACAAGAGGCATGATACAAGTAACTTTACTTTGTTTACAATAGCCAAATATAAAATATTTACTTTGTTCAAATTTTTTCTACCACCTAACCTAACCGAGACAAGTCCAAATTCCTTTTCCATTACTACTTTCATAACCGAGAGACAAATATCAGCCAGACATCTACAAAACTATTACGAAACACGAGTTTTCCTTATTGTTGTTGTAACGGGATTCCCGGAACTTTTGCGATGACAAACAATATTACATTATATTTTATTTCCCCTTGAGGCAAATGCGTTTTTTCTCACAATTATTGCTTTTATTGCCGCATTATATCGATTATAATGGCATCGATATCGATTGTACATAGCTACAAACGTAATTGTTTTTACAAAGCCTTTGTACTGCGTAGCAAGCTAAGCATAGAGACATCTTATGTACCTAGCTTTCTAATAAAAATGTTGGTTTTAGGATTGGTCCTCACATGGAAACATTTCTTGGTGTCGTTTTGTCCTAATACTTTTTAGTTGGCATTAAAAAGTATTAGAACAAAACGACACCAAGAAATGTTTCAGCCAAATGACGTCACTTCTGGACAAAGGCCTCCCCTAAGGATTTCCACAACAACTGGTCCTGCGCTGCCCGTATCCAGGCACCTTCACCAGATCATCGGTCCACCTAGTGTAGTAGTAATAAAAATAATAATGATGTAAATATTTTCAATATTTTTCACTAGTGAATTCTAAATTTTTCAGTATGGCAGCTAAGTAAATCAAGTACCTACATTGCATAATATGGATTTGTTATGATACAACATTGTAGAGATGATTCACAAACTGTCTGAACCAGTCTCAGTTTTGTTTACGTAATTAACTCTGTAAATAGAAAGGGTTGTTTGTTTATGTATTACCCTTTGTAAATTATCAAATGCAATACAATAGAAGACTGCCTTACTAGTATAGTCAAAATCACAATATATTATTAATGTTCAGTGTGCCATTCCAGCTAACCATTTCCGTTTTTACAAGCTTTATATTGACTTCGCTTGTTTGTTAGTGTGGGACAAATCTTGCAACTGAATTTAATTTCTTTCGCTCTCATCAATGTTGATTCTTTGCGATAGAACGAGACGACATGACTGGAAATGGGTAGCAAGAACTTTGGCCCATAGTTCATTGCGCTCATCTTCTATGACATAATATTATTTCTATAATAATCATAAATCTTTCCTACTTACTTCATCTCTTCGATATTATGTTTGGTGAATATCCAGTAATTTTTAGACTAGAAGCTAGAAGTTGAACCAGTAAATATAGTGTTAAATAATTTATTATTGAAGGCAATAAAGAAGTCGAACCAGGATACAAAATATTATTATTAGAGGCATTTTTCGTCGCCGACGACGTCGAAACCCATGTGGTCCCAAATTCGATTTCCGGTCTATCGGAAAACGACTTTTTCTAAATTGTCTGGTAGGAACTGAAATAAAGGTCCAGTACCTGGTAAAATCATGATTTATATTTCCTTATATTACGATATATTGTTAAACTCATCTTTACCTATATGTATAAGTTCATGACATGCCTGCATTTTTAAGATTACAAAAGGGCTACGTCAGTTGCGGTTTCGGTTTCAATTCCCGCTGGAGGTAACTAAATGTTAATGTGATAATCGCTAGGGTATAATTATTTTATTATTTTATTTATTTGGAATAACAACAGCCGACACATATAATAGACTTAAATCAAATATTTTACTTAAACTAATTAGGCCAAAAAGGTTATCCACAGCATTAACGAATTTTGCTTAAACTATCAAGTTAAAAACAGTAAAGAAATATTTATAGACACCTGACCACAATTCTATACTGCCCCATGATAATATGTTTGGCAAGATCAAGTGTTGTGTTAAATGATCCAGTCCACACACACATTGATAAATACTGGTATGTAAAAATATATTCGTCGCAAAACAAACAAATTTAATTAAAACAAACAACAACAACAATTTTGTAAATAGTTTTTATCATTACTAATTTTTAAATTTTAGTTTTTAAGTAATTTTAAGTTTATATAAATATATTATAAAATTATTGTTTTATTGAATAAAAAATTAGTCTTGATCAAAACAAACTACGATATAAGATAATATTTGTATAGTATAAATAAATAAAGTAAATAATAATAGCAATAATGCGTTACTTCACATAAATATCTTTCTGACATTGTCTAGGAAAAATTTTTTGCTACCCATGAAAAGATCTATTTCACTGAACTCCCTATTATAAGTATTAGCGAGTCTAGCTAGCACAGCATTGCTGCCGTAGTTAGTGGCATGTGACGGGACGGCAAACAAGGTCGTGTGGCGCGTGCGACGCGCCGGAGCCCGCAGCGCCAACTGCGCCACGAGCTCCGGGCAATCAAGGCGCCCGCGCACTACGTCATGCAGGAGCCCCATGTCCAGCATTTTGCGGCGTTGTTCTAGCGTCAGCATTCGGTATTCGCGGCAGTTGTCGGTGTATGATGTACGTGTTCTTGTTTTTAATTTAAAGTTTAGATGGTTAATAAATCTCTTTTGTATGCTCTCAATTCTATTTTTATGAACGGCGTAAAATGGATACCAAATGGAACAAGCGTACTCTAAGATACTCCGCACGTATGCGAAATAAACAATTTTGAGGCTAATTAGATCGGTGAAAGGTTTACAGGTGCGCATCACAAAGCCCAAGTTACGAAACGAACGGCCAACTATGTTATCTACGTGATCCGAGAACGACATTTTAGAGTCTAGCCAGACTCCCAAATCACGAATTAGCTCGACCCTCTCTATTGCAATACTGTTAAAATTATAATTGAATATGATTGGTTGTTTCTTGCGAGTAAAGCTAATACATTGGCATTTTGGTATACTGATTGTTATGTTGTTTTTTGAATAGAAATTTACTAGATTATTGAGATCCTGTTGAATCAGTAAACAATCATTAATAGAGCTGACTTTCATGAAAACCTTTTTGTCGTCCGCGTATAAAAGGTACTTAGCGCTACTGAAACATGTATTAATGTCATATAAGTATGCATTATAAAAAAGAGGCCCGAGATGAGAGCCCTGCGGAACGCCCGAGGGCACTGCCACAAAGTCCGATCTGTATCCACCCAGTACGACTGCTTGAGAACGGTTTCTTAGATACGAGGCAATCCATCGCAGCAAGTCACCGTGTATGCCCAGAGACTCCAACTTGTGAAGCAGAATGACGTGATCCACCCGATCGAATGCTTTTTCGAAATCTGTGTAGATCACGTCAACCTGGCCGCCACCTTCCATGTGCTCAAGGACATAGTTGGTGAAGACAGACAAATTGGAGACAGTAGAGCGACCTCTCAAGAATCCATGCTGTGAGGACGGTACACCTCGAGCAATGATTTGATAAAGGTTTTCATATGCAATTTTTTCGAAAACTTTTGCGATAGTGTTAAGTATAGAGATTGGTCGATAATTTGAAATAATAGATTTAGAACCTTTTTTATGGATGGGAATAATATGGGCTTTTTTCCAAATTGCGGGGAAATCACATTTTTTTAGAGAAAAAGAGAATAAAATTGATATAGGTAAAGCCAGGCTTTTAGCGCACATAGATAAAAACATTGGGGGTATTCCATCACATCCTGCTCCCTTGCTTTTGTCTAAACATTTAAGGTGTTTTTCAACTATGGCTGCAGATACGTATATTTGTGATATTATTTGATTGTTTGGGGGAGGACTAGAAGAAGGGTCAGCAAGATTGGAAGATGATGAATTATTTGAAAAAACACTTTCGAAGAATGAATTAAAAGCATTACAAATACTTTGTCCATCTGAGAGCAAATTATTATTCAAAATAAATTGTTTTGGGTAACTTGAACCGCCTCTTTTAGATTTCACGTACGTCCAAAAATATTTAGGTGAGTGCCTAATAATACTTTCTGTTTTCCTTGTGAAATCGCTAAAACACCGTTCTTGCAATTTCTTAAACCGAGTCCTGAGCACACAAAACTCATCATAGTCCCTGGGATTCCCAAATCGTTTCCATTTTTGGTGTATTTTATTTTTCTGCTTAATGACTTTTATTAGTGTTTTATTGTACCAAATAGGATAGTGTGACCTACTAACTGTGTATTTGGAGAGAGGTATAAAACGAGTACAGCAATCTTGCAGTATATTATAAAAGTTATCCACTGCTTCATCCACTGTATCGCATGATAGGACTTCCATCCAATTAATGTCGGCCAAGTATTTATTAGCAGAGTCATAATCACCCCTGTAAAAATTATAACGGGCATTTATATTTTCCTTAAAATGCTGACAGTTTAGATCAAATATGTTGATATTTAATGCTGGATGATAGTTATCTTCCTTTAATAGCGGTTGAATTGAGCGCGTAACATCCAATGGCAGGTTGCTGAAGCAAAGATCGAGCAATCTACCTTTGGAGTTTAACACGTTATTATATTGTCTGTAGCCATGGAAGTGAAGGTGATCTATAAAATTCGCGGCACAGTTCTGTAGGTCACTACTACCTTGTTTTAATATTGTATATTTATCTAGGTCCCATTTCACACACGGTAAATTAAAGTCTCCCACCAACAAATAATTAGCATTAGGGAATTTATCTAATTGCTTAGAAATGTTATTAATAACATTGTCTAAACGTAACGAGAACCCGGATTGATCGGGCGGTGTATATACCACTATCAAAAAAAGGTCTACCTGGGATGACAGTTCAGATGCGGGCACTCGTACGCACAGAGATTCAGCGGTATCACTAGTCCATTCATTCACAACAGTTACTCCCAGATACCTACGAACGCCAATCATAACCCCGCCCCCGCCCGACTTGTTGCATAAGCTAAGGTCTCTGTCACAACGGAAGATGTCATAGCGGGTGTCACACAGCTCACTATCCAATATATCATTTTGCAACCACGTCTCAGTGAGTATGATTATATCATAGTTCATACACAACAAGCTATTATAAAGTTCTAAACACTTAGTCCGCAACCCTCGAACGTTTTGATAATAGATTGACAGCTTCTTACCTACTACAGCCATTTTCGGAGTGAATATGTTTCAACTTTATTACGCCATACTGCTTGACGTGAGTGTTGCGATTGTTTATAAGTGTTATCAACATGGTGTACTGGAGCTTTCTTAGTGGTTATGACGTTATGTAGTGTAAAACATAGAATTAACAGGTAATTATTTGTTAATTGGGTCATAAACAAACGAAGGGAGACTGAATCATCAAGAAGCGACGTTATATTAAAATAGTATAGTGGTAACGTGAATAGTAAATAGAAATGTACATAAAATATCCTATTTATACATAATATATTATAGAAGCGACGCTGCTTACTATCTTTACATACGTATATTATTATTATAATCTTAATAATTAAACAATAGAAAATGTGTGTGTAAATCATGAATTCATTTACATTTACCATATTATTATTAATATTGTAATAAACACATTATTTACATAAACGAGAGTAGAAATACATTCCAACTTGTACACACTCAAGAAATAGAAAACAATAAATAGAATAGTAGTCCGTTTCGAACCACTACACCAAACGGCCGATTACCGAATAGATTCAATGAATAAGAAAGTGGCCCTTAACGTGTACATTCAGATTTTTTAACAAAGAAAAAGCATAGTCTAGAACTTTGCTTTTACAGAACAGTAAGAAATATAGATGGTATGATGGTACGATAAACACAAAGCTGTCTGCGTTTCTAGTAATTTGAGATGCCAATTTTTATTATGCTACTTTTGCGAAGGTTTTTCAGCAGAGTAGAATAGAACCACTCTGATGGATGTCGGCGCATAAGGGAAATCATCCCAAAATATCTGGCTAGTGTGGGGTGTGTAGGTCAAAGCTTCCTTTGAACTTTGTAAATTGGAAAGGATTGTGCTTCTGCAGTACTGACTAATGCCTTGATGATGAAGATGATCGCTCGTCTTAAGTGCGTACTTGACGTCCATTGACGTTCCAGAGAAGTGCGCAGTAATAACACAGAATAATAATAAGTACTACGCACAGAAGGTTTTCTTCGCGAAGGTATTAAAAAAAATGTATGCTCAATGTCGTTAACAATATGGTGTAATTTAGCTTGTCTCAAGAGTCTAGCACCAATTTGTTGACAAAACGTCAGTGATCGGTACTGCGCCAAAGCCATAGGGCTGACTTAGGTAAAATTATGTGTGACGTAAAGTGCCAAACTGCGGAAAATGGCGGAGGAAATACATGAATAATCATGAATTATATTTTGTTTCTATTATTATTCAGGCAGTTAAAATACTGCACAGTATTAATTACACCACCGTTTTTACATACATAGTTTATTGTCTTTACAATGCAAAAGGGTGAAGAATACACGTGCGTGCGTCAATGCTCGCTCCTGTCCTGTCGATTAGTGATCTCAGGAGTTCTGTAGTCGCGCGTGTTTTGTTTTCAATGCAAACTCTCGGAGATGAACAGGCCTGTAGGCCTAAGATGCGCGCCGCGATAAGCGGTTATCACGCCATTTTATCGATTTTGCCCATACATGACGTCGATAAAAGTTATCACGGCGCGCATCTTAGGTCTACTGGTAATACCTCGATCGAGTAGTATTCTCCATACCTGCAGTATCTCGATGATCTTGAGCTTGGTGTCCATGACGAGCGGGTGCTCACGCGCGAGCACGAGCGCCGACGCACTGCGCTGCAGCCCCGCGCCCGCTGCCGCACCCCCGCCGCTACCCCCGCCGACCTGCGGGTAGGAGGATATCTTTGAATTCAAAATGTTTACTATAGATCTCGAGCAAAGCTGATTCAGTGTCTAAAGTATGGAAGCGGCACGGAAGGAGTGACATATGACGTGAAAAATGAATACAAGTCTAAATCACATCTGGGGGCTTAGTGCGAGTTTGCATTAAACGTATTCGACATCGAGTGCGTTAAAAAAAATCTACGAAGATCTTAGTTCTTGAAAGTATCCGCTAGGTATCCGTCATACATTGAATGTAATTTTTTTACGACACTTGAATACGTTTGATGTAAACTCACACTAAGCCCACTGAAGTCTCGCTAACGTTTGACGTCAAAAAAAGACCCTCCAGTGCCGCTCCCTTAAAATAAGGCGCTACTCAGTGCGTACTGTATATGCATCAATTGAAATGTGTCTATAAAACAAATAATTGTTTTATCTACACACATATTTTATTGTACCACATTATCTCGGTGAATAAATAATCTTTGAATCTTTGAATCTAAAGCTTCTATATTTTGTCCAGAATATAAAAATTATTTTGACAGCTCGGAATGAATTAGTAACAAAATAAATCAGCGACCGCATGGGATTAATATTACCCATCACCGAATCGGCAGTCCGACACCGAAATGTTATCTTCATTGGGGAATAAGAAACGTCATTATAATGCAAATCCTAAAGTGGAACCTAAAGCTAATCGAAGTTTAACAGCTCATCAAAAGTGTGTCAAATGATAGATGGTTCAAAATACGCTACATGCACTTTTAGATAATATTCGTTTTATAACTCACATTCCGTGCGACGGAACCCAAGGTGATAGAAGTCATGACAGCACCCATATCGCCGATGCTGCGCAGTACTCCCCCTTCAGCTAAATAAGGAACAAAATTAGGGACATTAAAATCACATAAGTATGTACAGTCGACAGCACATCAAGCTATACATTTTCGTTGCAAAGTCGCCCGTATCGCAACTACGTAAGATGCCACAGTGTTTACGTTGACGTGCTGTTGACCGTACATGTCACCGTAAAATTGTGAATTCCGTCAGATTATAATCTGACGTAGTTAAATTACAATCTAACCTAACCTAACCCACTGTTAGTTTACAATCTAACGCGTTATATTATAAACTGACAGAGTTCACAATTTCACGTTGTCATACATATTCATAGTATTTGCAAGCCGACAAGGCTGATCAAAGCTGAATTTTTTAACATGTAACATCTCAATGACCATAAATAAATGAATTTGAGTTTCAGATAAACATTCGTTCTACAAACAAACAACACCAAAAATGATGTATTTGCATTCCACTTACGTTTTTTGACTTCCTTCTCCTGCGAGGCTGCATGCGCAGTAAAAAGTGATAAGTATTAAAAATAAGTATTTTCTATTTTATTTCAAACATAGTTTTTTAAAGAATGAATTAATACTTTTCTTGGCTAAATATGCTTGTGTTACGAGTGGGTTCAATACAATAGTTCAGTGTTGGCGGGGTTTGAACCCGTGTTCCTCGGATCTTCGGAGGTCCCGACTCCGACAAAATTGGGCCATGGTTGTTTCATGGGTTTATTTCTACTTACTAGGGTTTCTGCTCGAGCTTTCTCGAACTCGAGAAAACTCGAGAAATTTGGCTTCAATCGAGACGAGAAAAAAATTACCGGAGCTCGAGAATTCTCGAGTTTCGATTTTGAAGCCTTAATATTCTTGAAAGCCTATTTTCTTAGACAAAAGTAAGTTTTTAATTATTTAATAGGTTAACGTTGCGTTTAGACTGGCCTAGTCTTTCCTTTTTTTAACTAATTTGATTTGAAAGTAATGATCTTAACCGAAACTAATAATGTTCACCTACGAGTAAGCTATATTTTATTATGTTTGTATAACTGACTGATTTAAAGACAGAAAATTTTTTGTTAACTATCTGTTAGTTTAAGTACTCGTAAATACGTTTATTCAAGTCGTTATTTTAAGTTTAAAAATTTATTAAAAAGTTTTTGTTCTTTGGAAAACAAGTGATTCAATTGGAGCTCCAGATATTTATGGTTATTAATCCTTAAAGTACACTTTAAGCGACTTTATGACTTTTGTTCCTTTAGTTGATTACTAAGTTATAATTATCCTACTAATATTATAAATGCGAAAGTTTGTGTGGATGTCTGGATGTTTGTTACTCTTTCACGCAAAAACTACTGAACGGATTTTGTTGAAACTTTACAGTATTATTGATTATAACCCAGACACATTATAACATTAATAAAAACCCGTGTTTTTATTAAATTTCAACCGATTTCAACAGTTTTAATTAAAAGACTCGAGACCCGAGAAAACTCGAGACTTTGGCCTCGAGAATTCCCGAAACTCGAGAAAAAAAATAAGTCGAGAAATCAGAAACCCTACTACTTACATTCCACCTCCCCGGAAAGGGTGTTGGATTCATTCAGCAGATCCATGGCTGTGACGCAATCAAGTATGCTGAGTAGGGTCTTCGTCAAACGGAGTAAGTCGCTAAAACTGTGGGAGGAGATAAAACAACATTAATTCCAAAGCTACAGTAAATATGATCTGCAGGGCTAAGATGCGCGCCGTGATAAACTGCTATCGCGGCGTTATATCGATTTTGACGTCACTATATCGTTTTATCTACCGGCGCTAACATGGCACCCCGAAAATTATCATGTCATCTGTCAAAATGTGATAGTGATAGTTTTTTTTTTTTTGTGATAAACCTGCGGGACGCATTTGGATGCGGGCGGCGCAGGACAGGTCGTTGTGGAAATATTTTGGGAAAGGCTTTACCCAGCAGTGAACGTCATTTGGCTGAAACGAATGAACGCAAATAGATTGAGTTCCTCACGTTGTAAGTCTCATAATCTAGAATTTTCTATGTACACAATTGACATAATCGTATTTAATAATTTAGAACTTCAACAACGCATTTCTGGCCCTAGTCTTGCACTAGGGCTATAATGACTATGGTTATTACATCAATAAGCGATATGGGTGTTATTTGACTTAAGCCTTCGTGGGTGTAGCAACAAATCAGCAGCTTTTACTCGCTAGTCTCAGTTTAAATATTAACCTGTAGAAGCCGAAGTACATTAGCTCCCTGGCCAGCTTGACCACCTCGAAGGTGAGCTTGTTCTGGTCGTGGTCGCTGGTACCAGGTGCACAGGTGACCTTGTCTATATGACCTGACACTCACCTGTAGAAGCCGAAGTATATTAGCTCCCTGGCCAGCTTGACCACCTCGAAGGTGAGCTTGTTCTGGTCGTGGTCGCTGAAGTACCAGGTGCGAGTGACCAGGTGCACAGGTGACCTTGTCTATATGACCTGACAACTCACCTGTAGAAGCCGAAGTATATTAGCTCCCTGGCGAGCTTGACCACCTCGAAGGTGAGCTTGTTCTGGTCGTGGTCGCTGAAGTACCAGGTGCGAGTGACCAGGTGCACAGGTGACCTTGTCTATATGACCTGACAACTCACCTGTAGAAGCCGAAGTATATTAGCTCTCTGGCCAGCTTGACCACCTCGAAGGTGAGCTTGTTCTGGTCGTGGTCACTGAAGTACCAGGTGCGAGTGACCACGTTGCAGAGATAGTTCTCTACGAAGCGGATGGTGAGAGCGAATTGCTCTTTAACTTTCTCGCGCGTTGCGTCTGGCCCACCTTTCACGCACTGGTAGCTGGAAATGGAAGAATGATGTAACTAATTTTTTCAGAACTAGGTAATCCTAATTTGAAAATTATAAATAACTTGAAAAAATCGAACTGCCTAAGGCGGGAATTGAACCCACAGTTAGGCAGTTCGATTTTTTCAAGTTACTAATAATTTTCAAATTAGTTTGAGATGCGACTCTTAACCCTAAAAATTAAATAACTAGGTAATCCTATGTTTTAAGTGTCATATATTTATAGTTTCAACTATTGCTTAGTTAGCTTAACTTGGAATATGAGTAGTTTTTATTATTAAAACTCGGCCCAATGTATTATCTGTTCGTGTATAGTGTAGGTACACAAAACTCGTGTTTCACATCTGGATGTGACTGTGGCCATGGTGGCGAGTGTTTAACACACTCGTGTCTGACTATGACCTCGGGGGCGTGTGTTTAAAAATACTCCTGTGTGGCAGTGGCAATAAGTGTGACACACTTCTATGTATTGCGTCTACGAGTATGTGTCATTCACTAGCGTGTGTTACAGAGAGTGTAACTTGACGTTACTCCAGCCACGAGTATGAATGTTACACACTCGTGTTGTTTTAGCTACGATTGTGTGTTACTCACTCGTGTATGTGGATGCGGTCGCAAACCTCAGTCCACAGACGCGCGTACTTGACAGGCGTGACGGGCTCTTGAGGGTCGCGATTAGCGTGGAGATGCAACATAAGGTGACAGAATGACGCTAGTGTGAATCTGCAGACGTGACGTGTGTGTAACCCACTACCGTGTGTGGCTCTAGCCTTGAGTGCACTTGGGTGTATTACTAATTCTAAATCCCGGTCTGTGAGCACGTAGTATTTTGTCCAATGACCCCAAGCTACCCATCCTTATCGCTCGCGCGTAATTATATTGCTGTCGCGACTGTGCGACGGGCGCCCGCAGTGAATGTGCGAGCGCGACAGCAACATAATAACGCGCGAGCGATAAGGATAGGTAGCTTGGGGTCATTGGACAAAATTCTACGTACTCGCAGACCAGACTATAGAATGAATGTTCCTGCATTTACAAGTGACTGTGTTCCTCCATTTATAAGAGTTTGTCGATTATCCTGTCATGCTCGAGTAAGTTGATCCGGCTACATAAAACCTCATGTTATGTTACACTCTCATGTATGTTACGCTCTCGTGTACGTTAGGCTGGTTTTAGAGTCAAGCTGACGCACGGTGACCGTCAGCGCTGACAGCCGAAATGTATGAAGCGTCGGCGCCGAGCGATCAGCGTCACTCAGGAACGTTCCCTTCAATTACATACATATTGATCTGTCAGCGCCGACGATCAGCGAGCGGTCAGCGCGATTCTAAAACCCGCCTTACACTCTCTTTATGTTACTCACTCGTGTATGTGGATGCGGTCGCACACCTCAGTCCACAGACGCGCGTACTTGACAGGCGTGACGGGCTCTTGAGGGTCGCGGTCGGCGTGCAGGTGCAGCATGAGGCGGCAGAATGACGCTAATGAGAATCTGTAGACCCGGGACGTGTGTGTAACCCACTATTGAGTGTGGATCCAGCCATAAGTGCACTTGGGTGTAGGGTTGCCAGGCGTCCGGGTAAAGCCGGACACAGTTAGGCTCTTTGATTGCGTGTCCGGCCTGTCCGGCTTTTGTTAGGCTTTTAATTGGGCTGCCGCGCCAGGCGAAAATCGAGCCACAGAATAATATGAAGGCCCGGGTGCCAAGCATCAGGGGGTGACATAAGTCTTGCAGATTAGTACTGATTAGCGCATCTGCATGACAAGTCTGCGAATCTTGGGGAGTACCAGGGGGTGCATTAAGACATCTGACGGGGAGGGGGGGTGATATAGTTACACTCTCTTTATGTTACTCACTCGTGTATGTGGATGCGGTCGCACACCTCAGTCCACAGACGCGCGTACTTGACAGGCGTGACGGGCTCCTGAGGGTCGCGGTCAGCGTGTAAATGCAGCATGAGGCGGCAGAATGACGCGCGCAGCTCGTAGGATAACTCCGCATTTGACATGCACCTGTAGGAAGTTTGAAACTTGTGACTATGAGGGTAAGGCGTGAATTTGTTTAACAATCTCTTTGCTTGCTTTTTAGAAGAAAGACGGACGTGAAATCCGACATGGTTTAGAAGGATGTAATCTTTTATACAGTGTGGAATTTTGAAATGCCACCTGGAGGGAAAGTACTCTTAATTAATACTGTAGATAGAAAATTTTACTTAAAGAAAACATTCCTTTATTTTTGAAAAGAAATAGAACTGCATTCAAAGATTTCCATAAATATACTTACCACACCCGGGAATCGAACCAACTAAAATCTGTTAAAAATTACATCCTGTATTTTTATTACGTGGATCGGGTTAAGTATAAGGATGAAATCTCTCTAACAAACTTAATAAATTAAATGAAAGGAAAACCGTGAAATCTCAAATTATTTTCATTGTTTACAGAACATTTTATGCTATGGTGGTGAATTTTCGAAAAAATTTCGGAAATCTTTGATTGCAGTTCTTTCTTTTCAAAAATGAAGAAATGTTTTCTTTGAGTAAAATTTTCTATCTACAGTATTAAGAGTACTTACCCTCCAGGTGGCATTACAAAATTCCACCCTGTATACTGCGCTATTTTAAGGAGGCAAGATGTCTTGGAACTTAGGGACCGGAAGACGTAGCCTAAGCCTTAGGTGGGACGGACGAAAACGAGTGAAAGTCGCGGGATGCGCTTGGATGTGGACAGCGCAGGATTACTCGTTGTGGAAATCCTTCAATATTTTTGTCTAGCAGTGGTAGTCTTTTAGTTAAAACGAACGGACAATTCGGTCACCATAAACAATGAGTTAGGTGGACAGCAGGATTTTTTTCAATTGCTTCGCTCTTGGCTGTGCTGTCGTGATCACGTTGATGAGTTCACGTCAATTGTAGAGGCGGAAACGGTTCTCCGCACGATCTCCCGCCATCTCCCATTATTGGCAGGCTTACCCAAATGCATTCTATTCAAACCGTGTTGCTCAAGATTTTCGAATAGACAGACAAGCTAATAATATTGTACACCAAATTGTCAACAATTCTTTTTTATTATCCACAGCGAGGAAGCTCTTGGCCTGTTTCTCACCTGATGGTAAGTGATGATCAGGCCGAAGGTGGAAGCGAGTTTCACCCGAAATCCTCAACCACGGAGGAACTGGCTATCTTACCTCAAACTGCCGGAACACAACAATGCTGTTAACATTGTTGTTATGAATGCTGTTAACATTGTTGTTATGGCGACAGACTTAGGTGATGGTGGTAGCTAACCAGGCGGACTTAGAACAAGCCCTACCACCAACCAAACCGAACAGAAATATCTGCACCCACTGGGAATCGTACCCGGGACCACTGCGTCTGAAGCAGGTGGTCTTACCACTAGACCACAGAGGCGGTTCGTAAAGGTTACATTAACATCTACAAACTGACTTGAGGATCAGGTGCACGTGTAGATGCGGCGAGAGCGTGTTCAGCGCGAGGTACTGCCGGTTGAGGCACATGTTGGAGAACAGGTCGAGCTGGTGGCGGTAGTAGTCCAAGATGGCCGCCGCCTCGCCTGCGGGGCTCACGCGCGCCTCGGCCGCCAGTTCTGAGAGTAACCGGGAATTCTAGAGGAAAAAAGTGGAGCAACATTAGTGTGACGTCACACAAGGAAGCGGACTGCCAGTTCTGAGAGTAACCGGAAATTCTGAGGAATCAAATCAAACCAGGCTTATACAGGGTGTTGATTTCAATCCTCGCCAGATTTAGAGAGTTGATTAGGTAGCTTATTCTGATTCAGAATCGTAAAAAAATTGACTTCGAAAAAAATTTCAAACGAACTTTAACTTTAGTAAGTCAAATAAAAATACCTATTTACACTACCTACTTTACGTGGCTTCCTTCAGTAGGCTATCCAACATGACAAGCGAGCGATCCGCGTAGCTCGTGGTGCCGTAGTGTAAGTAAACGTATTGCGAGCCACAATAGGGTTGATGTCGCACGGAAAATATTAGCTCAAAATTCCAATTTTATTTGAAAATTTTTTTGGTGGATAATGCGTTTATTGATATAAGTCGCCGACGCCGCGGCTCTATTTTCTATTCTATTGCCCAATTTACCTTTTTATTATTCCACAGCAATATGACTTCGTCTTCCACAGAGTATTTACTCTTGTCGTCAGGTTCCAATATCTTCGTCTTTTCGTATTTTGTCGAGGCCAATCTGGAATAAAATACAGGTTAATTTTACCATATATAATACTAGCGGCCGCCCGCGACTTCGTACGCGTGAATCCCATTTTTCCCGCTAATTCCCGTTCCCGTGGGAATTTCGGGAATTCCTTTCTTAGTGCACCTCTACGGTACCTAAGCTACGTCCCTTCCAAATTTCAAGTGCCTACGTTTAGCCGTTTAGGCTGTGCGTTGATCTGTCAGTCAGTCAGTCAGTTTCTCCTTTTATATATTTAGATTATGTTGGATGTATCGGACTGGATTATTTATCTCACAACTTTTTTACCTTGGCATTATAAAATATGCAGTATTTTACTTTTTTAAATCTCCAAAAATACTTTCATCTTTTTTATTTTCACACTGGTTTACAAATGATTTAAGCTATTTGCTTTCTCTATCCATCAACGGACGTATATACATGAAATAAATCCAACCCAATTTGAGTGAAGTTGTGGGTTGGATCCTTACCATGCAAATAGGTCCTCAATATCGTCGTCGTCGTCGTTTCAGCCGAAAGACGTCCACTGCTGGACAAAGGCCTCCCCCAAGGATTTCCACAAAGACCGGTCCTGCGCCGCTCGCATCCAGGTACTTCCCGCGACCTTCACCAGATCGTCGGTCCACCTAGTGGGAGGCCTGCCCACGCTACGTCTTCCAGCTCGTGGTCGCCACTCAAGAACTTTCCTGCCTATCCTCAATATCAATATTCCTCTATTCCATAGACCTACGATCTAGTGAAGCTTCGACCTGAATGCGGGAAGCGCAGGTTTGGTCATTGTGAAATTCCCTGGGCGAGAATACACTCCATAAACTATAATATCTCTATTCAAGGTGTAAAGTTACCTGGTCTCAATAAGTATGTCCGAGTTATTAGCGCAAAGCACGCTTTTGCAGATTAGCTCCTGTGTGACGGCGATGGCCTTCTTGTTGGAGATGCACAGGTCGCTGAGATAGTCCAGGAAACGGGACTGCCAGGTCTTCATGTTCTTGCGGACTAGGCCTGGTGAAGTTCAATAAAGAAGTATTTATTATTCGAAGACGCCGAACTTTAAGATAAGATAACATTTATTTCCAAGAATATGGTACAGTGGTTTGATCATATAATAATTAATACATAGTTCAACATATTCTGCCATTGATTGTAGGCGTAGAAATATAGGTACTCAATAAAGCACATTTCAGTGAATAAAATACAAAGAAAGTGATTAATTCCGATTACATTATTATGTCTACTTTGTGATGATACTAATACTAACTGAGACAAAGTATAAAATCATAAGTGTCCGACGTCCGTAATGTAAAATCATGGTGTAACGCATTCAATACAATTTTTCATTTTTTAAACTCTGTAAAAACCTAGCTTTCGCTGACACGATCACCATTAAGATTCTATGCGAATCAGGCCTAAGATGATGACTAATAATAAAGAGGTTTTAATGATTCGGGAAACCAGGAAACCCGATTGGTTATTCACGCCACATCTCCGCTCCGCCTTGATGGAAACCGGGCCTAAAAGTACCGTTACTGACACTAACACCAAAATCGATAGGGGTTGGGGTAAAAAAGTTTTTATTTTTTATGTGGCAGGAGGCAAACGAGCAGACGGATCAACTGATGGTAAGTGATTACCGTCGCCCATAGACACCCGCAGACCCAGGGGCGTTGCAGGTGCGTTGCCGGCCTTTAAGGTGAAGATACGCTCTCCTCTTGAAAGCTTGCAGGTCATATCCGTCCGGAAACACCGCAGACGAAAAGTATTTCGTAGATAGCAAAAAATAATCTCACATTAAAAACCTAAGGTTTCAAAATAGTTATAATATTTGCATTGCACTTACCAACAAACGTCTCGATCTCAGACGCCGTGATATGCTTCTCCAGAAGCTTCCTGTTGTTGTGTAGCAACGCCGTGATGGTGTCTTCGGCCAGGATATCGTAGCCGATCTGCTTTTGCATGAAGCCGAAGTGCTTCGCTATGTATTCCTGTGTTCAATATTCACATCGTCAGTATTTAAAAAAGTAGGATAGATACATATTTTTTTAAGATATAACCTGACAATAAATTTTATAACTCACAAACTCATACACACGCAAAAAGTCCGAACACCTTATTTGTTTAACTAAAATTACTAAAACACAGCAAATGTTCGTGAAGCGTTTGAGATTTTGCTTTCTGTCATCGCAAAGACGCAGTTGCACTTCATTTACGTTACAGCTTCGTTTGAACTTGCCATCAAAACGAAACCGCGATACGGATTTGTGATTTTCGTTCGTGTTTCAGTAACGTAATAACGTTGCAGCTGAAATTTTTTAGCGCAATCGGAACCTAGGCAAATATATTTTCAAATAAATATGTAAAACAAAAGCAACTTGATTTTAACTCAGACTTGTATAAATTATCTTACTGTGAACGTATTTTAGATTTTTTTCTGTTATATGATACATTTCAATATGATAAATGAAAGATATGACATAACTTACTTGATTTTTCCTATAGTCTTGTTGACTGAGTCGTAGTATCCGGTAGCAAAGCCGGAAAATGTACTTATAAGGGGCGTAGCGAGGGTCGCACAGATCCTCAATCTTCAAAAACGCCTCCCCTTCAGTCGTCTCTTGGAACGGGCCCTGGGAACAATAAGCATTTTATTTTATTTTATTTATTACGGTATACCAACCACATTACATACAAAGTTATTACATGAAAATCTTACATATAGAAGTTTAGTGTGTATGCATGCCAATAACAGGTACACACAGCTTTGGCTAATATACTTAGAACATTAGAACATTTTATTACTACAGGATGAACCTACAAAGGTACCAGTCATTTTCTAAGTATAGTTCAGATACTTGGCTCGGCCCGTATCTGGTTTTAATCTTACCAGCACTAAAGCTGAGATAAAATATACGAACAAATAATATTAAACGATAATTTTCAAAATGAAAATGAACAAAGTAAACATTTGATAATAATTCCAATAACACAGTTTAAATCATTCTTCATGCTTTTTAACTTTTAAGTGCGGATTGACTGAATGAACTCGCTTCGTAGTGGTTCCAGTTGGTTGACTCATAGATAAACAGATTCGTTTATTTCAGCTGATGTTTACAGCTGGACAAAGGCATCTTCTTAAGGATTTCCACAACGGCGGGTATTACGCTAGATCGTCAGTCCATCGAGTGGAAGGCCTGCCTTGACCTTGAGCCTTTTTATGAGGCCCGTAGTAAGTGACCACGTCTCCATTTCACAGAAAGAAAATGTGTCTCAGTGGACTGGTAGTGCCTGTTAAGTATACTTAACCTTTGTTTTGTCTCCTGTCATCCGCTTTGCACCGGAGAGAAGTCGAACCTTATACTTCGAACTCCTTCTATGTTCTTCTGATTAATGTCGTTGCGGCTCCAATGACAGTTTAACTTTCCCCCGGGATAAACTTGACCTTCACTGGTTGGGTTTTTATTGGCGGGCAAGCTGTAGATCCTGGCTAAAGCCTGGTCCGTGAGCACGTAGAATTTTGTCCAATGACCCCATGCTACCCATCCTTATCCCTCGCGCGTAATTATATTGCTGTCGCGACTGTGTGACGCGCGCCCGCAGTGAGTGTGCAAGCGCGACAGTAACATAATTACGCGCGAGCGATAAGGATGGGTAGCTTGGGGTCATTGGACAAAATTCTACGTGCTCACGGACCAGGCTTTACACAGGAGTTGCAGCGGTGGGAACAAGATGTGAGAAAAGTCCTGTTTTTGGTGTGTCTGCACGTACCTGGAGGATCTTGAACAGTTGCTTCAATATGTACTGCTCGCGCAGAAGTTTCTGGCGGTCTCGGTTGGGGTTCTCCACGACCAGTTCCAATGCTTCAGACTTGTTGGGCTCATTTTCGAAGCCCGCTATGAAGTACACTAGGTCTTGGAGCAGGCACGTTAGGGCCCTGGAATGGATACAAGGCGTTATACAAACAGAAAATTAATGCCGGCAGTACACTCTCGTCAATATATTGTTTAATATTTCATGGTCAATAACATAATTATTATTACTGACGGAATTGCTACCATATACTACAGTGGTAATAAAACACTGCGAAAGAGGGTAGACCGACATGTCTGCAAGTTTCCTCAGTTTCTCCGTGACCATGGCGCTTGCAACAGTGCCGAAATATCGGAAACTCAAAATTAAGGTTCACTCTCGTCAAGTCTCGTCCGAGAACTCTCACCCAGCCTCGCCCGAATGTCTCGCGAGTCAGCCCTATATGCTAACACGGGAGCTAGAGCGAGCGAGCGACAGTGAGATACTCCGAGACGTAGCGTGAGCTCCCTGTATATTCTCGCACTTGGTCTGTCTTGTGGTATCTCGGCGAGAATGTACTGGCGGGATAAAAGCTTTACAACAGTTTAGTTAATGAAAACATAATTGATTAATGTGACTTGAGCTCCTGTCGCTACTTCTTTTCACCACCAGACGATATGTTGTCAAGTTATATTTGAAACTTTTAAGGGTACAAGTTTAAATTGAAAAGATTTTGTGCCGAAAAGATGAAAGGGTTTTAGATGGTAACAGATTTAGGGCAGATGTATTAATCGTCAGATATATGTATTTTAACAGAAGAGTAAACTTATCATTCTGACATATTTCCCGTACTGAAAATGTCAATGTGCCAAACATAATATTCAGTTAGGCCGACGATTGAAAAGTCACCGCAATTTTAAATTGACTGGCCAACCTTGCAAAAATAGTACTTACTTCCGCTCGTTATGTTCTATATTTCCATGATGCAGTTTAGTCGACAAGGCAGAGAGCACCTTGCAAGCATCGTTAGCAAAATCCAAGTCCCTCACTTCACTTGGCGATACGGAGATCAGGGCAAAGGCTTCTTTATCTTCCTTCACCACTGAGCACCCCACCTGATACATAAAATCTTTTATGGGTCATTCCACAAAAATATGTAAACTCTTAGTCCGCGCCACATTTCACATGAAATATTTGTTAATATTTTATTCCAATTTTGTTAAATAATAGCTCGCAATGTGCTTTATTCATCACCCATTTATATTTTTTGAAACTATTTTTAAAACATCTTAAATTCCTTTTGAATGACCCAAAACGTCATTCCTTAGGCATGTCCGTCCGTACTCCAAAAGTTTGTGTTTTGGGACCCACATTTATAAAAACATCAACTTTATCCTTTGTTTTAATTAACGAATAATCTATTTATAGCCTGACCAGGAACATAAAAACCCTCGCCATGTTGCGGAAAACTAATGGTACTAATTTCTTTTAATGGCAACAGTAACTGAAAACTTCATTGTCATGTCACCTTGCATGTCAGTCTATTGCTGTCAAAGTGTAAACAAACTTTATTTTAAATGTGCGCAATTGATTTTGTGAATTAAATTGCTAAAATATTTTTATAGTCGTGAAAGAAAAGTGGTTCACGATGTGTTAATGTATTTGTCGAAGAGAAATATTAAGGGTTCGGACAATATTTTCATTGAATAATGTTTGCGACAAAGGTTGTCAAATTGACTGACATATTTATCGTATAGTACAGTCCACTATGAAAATTAGCTGTAGTCTGTTTCAACTACCTATTTTAAAGTTTTTTGTCACTTTCTAAGTTTTGAATTTTATGGAATTGGGAAAGAAGTACCGAGTTTGAAGCGTTCATGAGCAGACATTGCAGTTGAATATTCAAGTTCTGAATTTGATTATTGATGAATAATAAAATAAATCCTACTAGCTCCATTGATGGTTTCATTTAATTTATTTAAACCAGGTTACCTTTAATAATATTTTTCGTTAATTTATGAAAATATCAAATTAGCCCGTAATCCTGAATCCTGATACATAAATTTAGCCTATTAATTTAACACATGTACGACTGTACTCAGTGTTGCACTATCAAATGCAATTGAAGCGCCTCTATGCCAGGGTTTTTATGTTCCTGGTCAGGCTATACCTAAGCAACTGACTTCATACAGCACACAGTGTTTTATTTTGGCTTAGAAGCGGACATCCCTGTTTTATTAATTCAATCGTTAGATATTACTATTATGTATACAATTGATGAAGGAACTAGTAGTTGTATTTGTTTAGTTTCGAAGAAATATTCGATTTTGTGATTTTATAAAAAAAACTGTTTTAGAAGCATATTTTCTAAAAAAATTACATTAAGTCAGAATTTTGTAAATAAATTTACCTATCACTATAACGTCTACCTTTATGTAAAAATAAATGGTTATTGCTGCAGTAATTTAGGAATTATTTAATAATTTATGATTTTCAGAAAACATTTTTTTCTCTGTTGTCCTAGAAAAATGGCAGCTAGACTTACTTTATATTGATGCATGATATAATTATCTATAATACCTGAAAATATTACTTGCCTATCCCGTGGAAGTTCGAAGATATTTTAATTTCTATGAGTTTAGAAGATTTATATGTAAATAGGGTTGTCATCTAAATATTTTTTAGTTTTTTAAATGCCGTCCGTAACAATACGGTTTTAATGCCTTTGTTAGATAACTATTGAAATTCATTGCTTTTACCATTATTAATTTGTCTGGTCGAGTTTGATAATTATAGAGTTGGCCCTGTGGCGGCTTATTGGAAATCCTATCGTTTTCGAAACATCGATATATATGTTGCAGTCAAAACTCATAATCGATCAAAACCACTTTTGACTGCAAATTTCAGTTAATAGTGGTTTTGACCGATGGCCTTAGTCAATATTACTTTTGACAAATTTTTCTAGTCGTATCATCGAACTTCCACGGGATAGGCAAGTAATATTTTCAGGTATTATAGATAATTATATCATGCATCAATATAAAGTAAGTCTAGCTGCCATTTTTCTAGGACAACAGAGAAAAAAATGTTTTCTGAAAATCATAAATTATTAAATAATTCCTAAATTACTGCAGCAATAACCATTTATTTTTACATAAAGGTAGACGTTATAGTGATAGGTAAATTTATTTACAAAATTCTGACTTAATGTAATTTTTTTAGAAAATATGCTTCTAAAACAGTTTTTTTTATAAAATCACAAAATCGAATATTTCTTCGAAACTAAACAAATACAACTACTAGTTCCTTCATCAATTGTATACATAATAGTAATATCTAACGATTGAATTAATAAAACAGGGATGTCCGCTTCTAAGGCAAAATAAAACACTGTGCAGCATTACTCAGGCTCTAAATGTGAAAACATGTTAATGGTTATAAGTTTTCTAAAATGTTAGTCTACATAGTTTTTACACTGTATTGTTTTCCTTGTAAAATAAAAATAAATAAATAAATACTGTTGTGAGAAAATGTAACGTTGCAATTTAACTTCTTAACTGAATTGCACCACATAACTTTAACGATAACCGGTTACCGGTGTTTTTGTATGGAGTTTGACAGATTTTTGACGTTTGTTAAAGTTAAGTAAGATGGTACTACCCAGACTTAGGCTCAGTTGCGCCACCGTAACCGTAAAAATAACATTAATCGGTGCTTTTTGTATGGAGTTTGACAGATTTTTGACGTTTGTCAAAGTAAAAATAAGATGGTGCAACTCAGTCTTTATCCAGTCAATATCTCACCATTCGAATCTCAGTCAATATCGAAACAACAAGGAACTTAAAAACATATAAAAATTTACTAGACTGTGCTTTAAAATAAAATAAGTAATTAATCACCTTTGACATAACAGGTTTTTCTTCATCTTTGTCAATAGGTATGGAAGTTGAATGTACCCACGTATGCGTGCAAAGGTGCTGTAACCTGAAAAAAAAAACGCAGTTTTAGTGAGTAATTGCACACGGAGTTGAGTGCTCTTTGTCAAGGAGTCCCAGCATGCATTTATTACGTAAGACGATATAGGGGAGGGGGGGTCTACCATGTCTTATTTTTTCTTACAAGGAGGTGGAAAAAAATCTCGATAGTTCATACGTAAGATCATACAAAAATGCGCAAAGTTAATATCATACTTTGAAAAGCGCAGACAACCGCGCGGTTGCCGAGTTTTGCTCGGATGCGTACCTAAACCTATAGGTAAACGATTTCCATTTCCATGGGAACGGAACTGCGCCTCTCGCACTGCGCCTCCCGGGAATTCCCCGCTAGTGCACTAGTCGTCAATTTAAACGTGTATGGATTGATTCATCCACGAAGACGCGCCCCCCAATTCCACCATTCTTCCGCTAATGTTTAAGTGTTATCGGTACACGCTAAATTATTTATCCATGAGTCCACACGCACACTACAATAATGTCGCTCGGATTGCTCAGATCAAACTCCCCGCACCCCGCGCTTCCCTTGACCAAAAATTGGTCGGCCTATTCTCATTTTTTCTTATAATAGGGGCAGAGGGGTTAAAAAAAACTAGCGAAAATAGTCTTACGTAATAAATGAATGGCCCCTGAGTGTCTGTCGAAAAACGTCCGTATTTAGTATTTACCTGACGTAGGTTCATTGGTTGGGTTTTTGTGGCGGTCAAGCTGTAGATCCTGGCTACACAGGAGTTGCAGTGGTGGGAACAAGAGGTGGGAATAGTCCCGTTTACCTGACGTAGCTGCTCTGTGGCACGGGTGCGTCGGAGTGCGTCATGGTGGTCGGGTCCAATTCGAACAGAGTCGCGATTTCTGAGGAATGCGGGACAGATACCAGCTGGTATGCTGGCTCGCCTATCTCTACTGGGGCGTCACTGCAACAAAAAGATTAGTTTTGTAAAACCTTAGAGCTTAGACAATATAACATTCATAATTAAGTACGAAATCACTTTTTGAAGCTAAGAAACTACGTTCCGAAAACACCGGAGCGAAACTATTTCAGAATTACAATTGTCGCGTTTGCAACATTTTTTGGGGGGCTGGTCAGGTCTGATGATCGCATATTTATCTCTTAAGGTTCGGTCAAACCAACGCGATCACACGCGATCAGCCGGTGTGCAGCGATGGCCATCAATGCATTAAAGTCTGATCGCCATCGCTGCACGCCGGCTGATCGCGTGTGATCGCGTTGGTTTGGCTGAACCTTTAGGGTCATAGAACACTTATCAACTCGGAAAGGGACCATCACTGTATCATATCGAGCTATTCAATATTATCTGTATGAAACCCCTTACTGCAACGCACAATAATCGGAATCGTAACGTAATCGTCTTGCCTCAGGACAAACTAATCCCATCAAAAACAATACTTGTCAAAAAAACCAAGTCTCGCAACTCAGTTGTTCTACGGTAAAAAGTTGTGAGATCCATGTAATACCAAGTCCAGGCCAGGAAATCTTTAACGTTTTACATAAATATATTGACGGTTCTATATTGGCTCACATAAAATTCTAAATCCTATTCTTTGTCTTACTACCGATTTGTGTTCATAATAATCACTCTTCATAATTTTATTTTTCATACTTTTTTTATTCATACATTTTTATTACTACCATCGGAGCTCATAACAGTTAGTAATCATAATTTTTTTATCAATACTGTTACTACAAAGAACCATTTAAAATACATAATTTTTATTTTCAGATCTTTTTTCTTCATAACATTCATTGATCATATTGTTTTAATTAATAATGTTGTTACTAAGAACATACTTCAATCATTTCTTTTTGTATTTTGTAGACAGCAGTTATGTATCTAGAAAACTGGACCGAAATTGAAAAATTTTACTCGACTTGGCGGTTGCACTACCGTGCCCCCAAATATTTTAGTTTTTCCTTGATTCATACACCAAACACTACTTATATTCCAAATTTGAAGCTTCTAGGTCTGCTAGAAGTGCCTTAGAGTTTTGATGATCGGTGAGTCAGTCAGTGAGTCAGTCAGTGAGTGACAAAATTAAGTAACTTTGACCCGTTATAATTCTTAAACTACTGGTTCAAATTGAATGAAATTTTAAATATACCGTGTCTTTACAATGCCTGCATAGCTAATGAAAATTCAGCCTTCTAGTTTTATCTACAACGAAGTTACAGGCGGTCGAAAATGGCCTGAATTGTTTCGAGAAAAGGATGGTACGGCCGTGCCGCTTTTTTGCTCGACTTGGTGGGGGCACTGCCGTGCCCCCAGAACTAACTAGACATGTGTGGTCAACTAGCTTAAAGTTCGTCATTCGCTTACGTCTCATAATCCGCCAGTTTACGGCTCTTCGTCCATATCGTATTCAAACTGTTCAATCCAGCGTTCGGTAAGCCGTAAGCGCGGCGTCACCTACCCGAAGCAGAGTTGATGATGAGACCATAGGCGACACGGTGACGATCCCTATAGTCTCAAGTCGCCATTTACAACACCTACAGCAGGCCTGGCTCACTCCGCGCGGTACATCCGATAATTACCTACAGCGAAGCGCCCCGCCGGCGGGTATTATATCAGTCGAGTGTCACGCGCGCGCCCGTCAGGACGCTGGCGTGCGTTGTAGTACCTAATTCTACGATCGAAGTATTATTTAAAAATTGACTTAAAGAGAAAGAAATATTGTGCGGCGTTCGGGTGTTTAAATTCGAAAAGAAATCTACCGGATTTTATTTATCTTTTTTTTTTCGCTTCCCAAAGATGCTGAAAAGTATGTTGGCCATGTAGGTAATCAATAATTCTTAGGATAGTATAGGAACCTAACCTACCATGACTACTGCTCAGAATGCGTTCGTTAGTTTCAGCCAAATGACGTCCACTGCTGGACAAAGGCCTCTCCCACTTTTTAAGTATAAGTAGATTAATTTATTTTTTCACTAGACAGCAACCCTAACAGCGTAAAAAGAGTTCAGAGGCACGCGATAGAAAGAGTCAAAACTTGTAGGTGAATAAAATTGTAGGTACGTAGTGCTGTGCGAGCTGAATTCCACTGTATCGCGTCGTAGCAAGACTCGCATTCATTTAAATCGTCTTGCGGAGTAATCCTTCTGTACCTGTACTATTACTTATTCTGTGCCTACAGGAAGAGTATGTACTCACGGCGGTCGATTACACGCCTCTGCTGCTAAGTAGTGTCCTGTCGCGAGGTGCTTGAACCGGAATATCGAGTTCCAATGGCCGGCGCCGCCGCGGCATGGGTCGTGTTGCACCACCTGCAGACAATATGACGCTGTAGATAATAATATACAGACGGCACATCAAATCATACATTTGTGTTATAAAAATTGTACTACCTATCAATTTTACCAATCCTTTATCTTTCAATTATTGTATGCCCATGCGGCGGAACACAGCTGATCTATTATAACAATTTTATGACCTGACATATGTGTCACCTGTGCGTACGGTTACCTGTGATTTCACAATAAAAACAATTTGAATTTGTAGGAAACTCAACCCTATTACAACTGAATAAAAGACACCAGAGTATTTAGCTTGATGTGGCACGGTTCACCTGCAGATACAATACGAAAGGCTATACATATTTAGGACGTACGGACTCCTGACCTCGTTCTCCCCGAGTGTCTTGCCGCAAGTAGCGGGACGCTACACAACGCTACAGGATGCTACAGATGACTCCTGACCTAACGAGATCAGGCCAGGCGCTCTGGGAGATTGTTCCCAGAGCACCTTGCTGCTGGAAGCAGGACGCTACATGACGCTACAGTACGCTACAGATGACTGCTGACCTCGATCTCCCAGAGCGCCTTGCTGTTGGTAGCAGAACGCTACATGACGCTACAGTACGCTACGAGACGCTACAATCTTATACATCAGAGCCCTCCTGGCCTCGATCTCCCACAACGCCTTGCACCTTGCTGCTGGTAGCGGGACGTTACATAACGCTACAATACGCTACAGATGACTCCTGACGTCGATCTCCCAGAGCGCCTTGCTGCTGGTAGCGGCACGCTACATGATGCTACAGAACGCTACAAATGACTCCTGACCTCGATCTCCCAGAGCGCCTTGCCGCTGGTAGCGGGACGCTACATGACGCTACAGATGACTCCAAATCTCGATCTCCCAGAGCGCCTTTCTGCTGGTAGCGACACGCTACATGACGCTACAGAACGCTACAGATTACTCCTGACCTCGATCTACCAGAGCGTATTCTGCTGGTAGCGGGACGCTACAGTACGCTACAGAGGACTCCTGACCTCGATCTACCAGAACGCCTTTCTGCTAGTAGCGGGACGCTACAGTACGCTACAGAGGACTCCTGACCTCGATCTCTTACAAAACCTTGCGCCTTACTGCTGTTAGTGGGACGCTACTAGACGCTACCGTACGCTACAGAACGCTACAGATGACTCCTCACCTCGATCTCCCAAAGCGCCTTGCTACTAGTGGCCGCAGTGGCACTAGATCGGCCGGTGGTGCGCAGGAACACATGGTGCCGCTTGCGGTATTCATCCATGGTCAGGAACTTCTCTTACTCCACTAATACACGACGCTACGGGACGCTACAATCTTATACATCAGAATACTTCAGACCTCGATCTGCCAGAGCGCCTTGCTGCTAGTAGCGGGACGCTACAGTACGCTACAGAGGACTCCTGACCTCGATCTCCCAGAGCGCCTTGCTGTTGGTAGCAGAACGCTACATGACGCTACAGTACGCTACGAGACGCTACAATCTTATACATCAGAGCACTCCTGACCTCAATCTCCCACAACGCCTTGCGTCTTGCTGCTGGTAGCGGGACGCTACAGTACGCTACGGGATGCTAAACTACGCTACAAATGACTCCTCACCTCGATCTCCCAAAGCGCCTTGCTACTAGTGGCCGCAGTGGCACTAGATCGTCCGGTGGTGCGCAGGAACACGTGGTGCCGTTTGCGGTACTCATCCATCGTCAGGAACTTCTCTTGTTCGGCGTGGAATAACCGCACCACGTCTCCACCCTTCAGGATCTCCTCCTGGTTCTCCTTGTGTTCGAGGAACAGCGTCACCTTCCATGACGTCGACGAGTTTACGACGTTCACCTGGAAAAATGTTGAAGTATTTTTAGTAACAGTTTTCCCTCCAGGTAATAATAATATGTAAAGAGGATTTAGAATAAGTTTTGATGATATTTCGAGACCCGATTGGGAGGCTCACGTGATTACCTGATTAACTACAACAGAACGAGTCCACTAACCTTAAATAAGATAGAGAATATCATGCCTACAAACCACAAATAAGCTAGTTCTTTTTGGGTCAATTCGATATTTAACAGGATTTATGATTTTTTAATAAGCCACAGTGAAACTGGCTCGAAGTCTATACTTTATCTTCGTTTGATTGGTTTGTTATTCAAAAAGAATCAAGAATTTAAAGTGTAACCTAACCTAGCTACCCTAAGTTACCCACCTCCATACAGCCGGCATTGTCAGGTAGTTCATGGTTAGAGGACACGTGTAAGACTTGTTGACCTGCATTCACGGGGTTCATGATGACCTTGTCGCCAACCACCACATTGTCGCCTGGAAATAAACAGGGTTTTATTTTATCTGATATGTGGCAGAAGAGCAGACGGATCACGCTGCCCTTTTTACACCCGCAACATCAGTGAAGCTTCCCCGATTGAGCCCATTGAAGTAATATTACTACGTATAGAACAGACATCGCGAACAAAATATGTACAGTGCGGGGTGCGGGGCGGGAATTTGACGGACAGCTGTCAGTCAAATCCATGACTATCAAGTTTCATAATTTATGGCGATAAAATCTGCACCAGAAAATGTCGTACTTCATTGATAGGATTGCACGAATAGTGACGTTCCTGCGGTCGCCTCATCATAGACATTGTGAATCGATTGTGAAAATAAACAAATCGGCTAAATTGTGTTAAATTTTCATGGTGCTCAATAGCAAAAAGGTTCAGCTACTTACATTATTTTATTATATTGTGCGTTTCCTGTAATGTAATCTAAGCTCCCCTCCCTTAGACTTAAATTAGCCCTCCTAGACAAGTGACAAAACGTAGCAGTTGAAACATTCGAAATCACTTCGCTCTGCCGTTTTTTGGTGTTAGTTACTTCACTCTGTGATGCGATTTTAAAATTACAACTGGCGATTCCGAATTCACAACTGAGGGGACTGAGGCTAATCGTGTTACTTGTGCTACAAGTGCGTATGGGCTTCATACTGATGCTTAAGCCATTAATTATTTTTCTTCCCGATTAAAATCTAATGTAATCGATAATCGCCTTGAGAATCGTTAACTGGTATTTTCTAATTCGATAAAAAAATTACCCATCTCTAGTTTAAAACTGTCATCCAACAGCGCACGAAATATTATGAGTTATAGATAATGATACCATTACAGAGGCGACACTTCGTTTACGTTTAGTTTCTGCCTATTGAATTGGATACTGTAAGGAAACATCGTCATCATCATTTTAGCTACTGGACGTCCACTGCTGAACAAAGGCCTCCTCTAATGATTTCCACATCGCCCAGTTGATAGTGGCCTGCACCCAGCGTCTTCCTGCTATCTTCAGTCAGTCCATCTTGAGATTTTAGAAAAATTCCCACTCGTCACGGTAGGAACAAAGCTAGGGATGACCCACGCCTTCATTCCAGAACCAATAAAATAACTGAAAGTCAGAAACTTTCAGTTATTTTATTGTCTCTATTGTTAACTATCTCAGTGGTTGAGTACACGTATAATAGCTGTGAGGTAGAAGTTACGGGACTATTCCCACCTCTCCTTTTCACCGCTGCATCTCCTGTGTAGCTAGCACCTAGACTAGTTGATTTAAAGCCAAGGTATATCAGTTTTTAGGTAATGACTTAGTGCATCTAAAAATGTAAAACTTTCTAGTTTTTTGTAACATTGAAAAATCTAAAAAGAAGCATCATTTTTTTTACCAAGTGTTTCTAAGAAATTTAAATGGAAGCTTTTGATGACAACGTATTGCTTACTTTTTCAGCTGTCGAACGAATCACTTTTATACTCATAGGTCCTGTACATCGGTAGATTTGGTAAATAAATGAATCCATCCGGACTCAGAAACTAAAAAAATTAAAATAGCTGTAATTTTTTAATACTGGATTTGTCGATTAAATTGATCATATTACTGCGCCCTAACGGGTCGGACACTGGTGACCAGACACACTGTACAATTATTATAATTTTAGCCTATCTCGTGAGCTAGGTGTCAATAATTAGGGTGATTTACTAACTAACCAGTCGCATACGAACAACAGCAGTGAGATTCAAACAAGTTTGATCCATGATGCCGCACGACTATTGTGTGAGCCCACCCGTAACCCAAGCTTATTTAGCTTAACACAAGGGGCTGGACGGGACTATTAGTAATTTGTGCAATACAAAGTGCTTATAATCTTTAAAAAAATCTTTTTATTGCTGTATTTAACCTTCCTTTCGTATACTAATTTATGCGTCAGTGTCAAGTCTGCGATTTTTATTCTTTGAAATTTTCGTAAAATGGCTGCCGCCGCGGTGACGCCTTGTAATTAACAAATTAAAATTAAATTAGTGTTTTAAAGTGCATAAATGTACAACTTAATGGTAAAAAGTCATTCCTTGATTTTTACTTAATATGTATCTGGAGTTATTTGAACAGTATTTTCGTCTATAGGATGGCATATTTCAAAAAACAAAACTGCACTCAAGCGTGTTGTCACAGCAACCGCTGAGCACATACTAATTGAATTTCGGTCCGTGGACCTATTTACGTGCCAGAAACAGTCTAGTTGACATGTCTTCTCTAGTACGTAGTACATTATAACTCAATGATTGAGCCTCCGGTTCCCTCACTCACTCGGCTAAATGCAAATCTATGAAGTAATTAGAGCTACCGTATTGGGATGGTGCGACTGTAAAGTCCTGTCACTCGCTATTAGCGAGACAGTAGCCAATTGATGAACGCTGGAGCGATAAAAGGGCTATCGCATTTGCACTCAGCAGTTGGGCTAAGATTCGCGCCGTGATAATATCGTATCGATAATTTTAGACGACAAAGTGCTACTCTCTTCGTACAAATTCGATAAAAGCCTCGAAAGCCTAGCGCGCATCCTAGGCCTACAGGACAGGAAACATGATAGCCGTTTGTTCTTGAGTCTTTGTTAGCATTTGAAATACAGGGTTTTACTGTCGTCTCTACACCAAAATGATTTAAATAACCATATATTGAGTGGTGATTGTATATTCAAAAATGTAATAAATAAAGCAGCAAATGAAACCAATATTATAAGCTTGCATTATCACAATAACACGTAAGCTTCCATAAATACATTCATTGTTAGATAATACGAATTATTTTCATATTTTGCGATAAGCCGTTGAATATCAACAACACAGGACGGTCGAAACTGACTTAAAAGGGTTTAGATCCCTTCATTGTAGCCACAACGACTGAATTTATTTTCAGTGGGCATCAGTAAATATTTATGGAGTATCCCTTATGCCAAATTGATACTTGACGCCTTCGCAAAAAGGCAAATGGGAAAATTCATCGCTTTTTTAAGCTTTAGAAACCGATATTAAGGTTTAACCGTTTTATTTTCCGTACAGCCCGCATATAAAGTAAATTGTTCTTTTGTGTACACAACTACACACTACCTTTATCATTATGAAAATACGAGAGAAAAGATATACTCATTCGAAATGTTTTTTGTTAAGTGTAATTGCAATTTACAATCTTTCTACATTATTGCAGTCATACAGTTCGGGAAAGAAATCAGTAGGCAGCGAGTTTCAGTCCCTATAGGTGTACCAGAATCTCATGGCAAACAAAAATATTGGAAAAGTGTGTTTTTCATATGGCCATTGTCTATGGCTTTATTGTCACCTGTCAAAGTAAATCAAGAGATCTGTCAGCCGCTGCAGAAATTTTGTAATCTCTTCATGCCTATTTGTTATTTTTGTGAAAAAGACGAAAAAACTCAAGCAAGTCATATTGTTTTCAAAGTGTATTGTAAAATAAGGCATAATTCGAAGTCAATCTTTGATTTTAAAGCGCGTCGTTGAGTTGACAGTAAGTTGGAGTGAAATGTTTTGATACTTACCTACATTTAGTTTATTACCTAACTGCGTCAGAAGGAGGGTTATGTTTATTTTATATTATTCTTACCTAATAGCTGCTTTATCGGGGTTTTCAGGTGTATTTCATGCATTGGTGCAGAGGAATGGTGAAAATGTTATGACCATGTAAAGAAAATTGAAAAAGATTTCATCAAGCAAGTTTGAGTAATTGAAATGCTGAAAAAGCGATTTATATTATACAGGGTGGCCCAGAAGAAAATTCACTTTTGAAAATTTAAAGAAACGAAAACTGTACATTTTTGTAGAACTTTAATTAATGCAATTTAAAGGAAATTTCATGCAATTTATTTTTAAATTTACTTTCTTTTTTAAATTTGATCGTACATGTGATTCCCTTGACATTTACAACATTCGGTCAACATGCATAAAAATTTTGGAAAACTTTCGTTAGAGTTACTTCGAAATGGATTCAGGATGGATGAATGCTTCAGAGTTTTTGGATTATTAGAGTATAACACTGCTCATAACGTAACCCCACAAAAAGAAGTCTGCTGGAATGAGATAAAGGCTTCTTAGTGGCAATGAGATTCTGATTTCACACCTGCTTAATTGGTTTGTTGCATCGAAAGGATGATTGATTTTTGATAGCGCTATAGTGGCATGCTGAAAGGCTTCTTGATTTCAAAGTGCCAAGTTTCGCAAGGTTATGACAGGAGCACTTTGTTTCATCAAGATGGGGCTACGTGTCACACTTCAAATGAGAGCATTTGGATGGTAAGAGACATGTTCCCACAAAAAAATAATTTCAGGCAGGGGTGACATCCCCTGGCCACCAGGAAGTCCTGATCTCACTCCAGAAAACTCCTTTTTGTGGTGTTACCTTAAGAATAGAGTATACTTTTATAATCCAACAACCATGCAGCAACTGAAGCTGAACATTCGGCAAAAAATGGAAAATAAGTTTCGAGGTAATTCTAACGAACGCATTTCAAGATTTTGATGCATGTTGATCGAATATTGTAAGCGTCAAGGAAATCTCCTGGACGATGTAATTTAATAAAGGTAAATTTAATAACAAATTCCATTTCATTTTCTTTGAATTGTAATGAATAAAGTTCTACAAAATTACACAGAATTTTTTTCCTTGAATTTTCAAAAGTGAATTTCTTTCAGGGCCACCCTGTATTAATACCTGTTTAACTTGTGATCTATTTGAAGAACAAGAAATGCAAGTGGAGTTCTTAGAATCGTTTTCTAGTTCTGAATGAAGTGATAAGTTATAAGTATGATACTTAATAAAATTATTTACAGTAATATACGGTTTACTTATTTTTCAAGACATGTTCCTATGTTAAAAACCCGATGTAACAACATTCTTCATACACATACCTAAAATGTATAGGTAGGCATTCGTACTTCATGTTCATTAATATTAGTCATAAATAAAAATTAAATAGTATCAAGATCGTTTGATCCAATTTCCCCAGTATTGCACTCAACAAAGTTTATTTTCCCCATTTGCCATGAGATTCTGGTACACCTATAGCTATTTGCTTTATAAAAAAGTTTGCAAAACGTAAATTAATGTCGTGAACGACATCATTAACAGGTGATATGACACTACTTCAATGAATAAGAGTTTCATAGACTGCAGACTTTTTATCGACCGATAGTTTGGATGATTCGTCAGGCTGTTAGGCCCAGTTTCCACTGAGGCGGACCGGAGCGGAGAACTGTCGGGCGGACAAATTTTTCTATAGAATTTGACAGCAGCGGCGGCGCGGCGCTGAGCGGACCGGTGCAGAGCGGAGAAAAGATGTGGAAATAATTAAATCTAATTGGTTATTCAAAACATTTCTCTGTTCCGCTCCGCCTTCGTGGAAACTGAACCTTAATCAGGGAGAGGGCTTTGATAGCCTCTTCCTGATGAATACGTCAAATATGAATCAAATCACTCACCAGTCGACCGGAGTTTGTAGAATGGCATGACATAGAACCATGAGCCCTCATTACCATTTGCGTCTAAATGCACACGCATCGCGTTCTTCTCTAATAGCGCTGGTAGGCGCTTATTTACCTGTGGATATACAAAAAAAATCAAATAGGTCTATTCAGTAATCATTCCTAAAAAATTTGGCTGGTTTCACTACTCTTTAGTCACTCGAGTATACAGGATAAGGCCTACAGTATCAAGAATTAGAATCTGACACCGTACAGTATGGCCAACTACCCACAAAGAACCACCATTAGAAGAAAATCCCATTGCGTTGGGAAAGTGAATAAATTTTTGCAACAGATATGTGGAATTTTAGACGTAGGCAGGATAAGCCCACCCCCCTCTTCCTCTGAATATCGTGAAAGTCGACTAAAGGCGCCTTTAAAATAGAGGCATGAGGAAGCGCTGCAGTGGCGCCACTGTGACACTAAATTGTATGAAAACTAGTAGTGGCGTGGCAAGCGCGCCACAGTGGTGACGCTTCCCTCTAATTTGTCCTGCCTTTAGGGACAAATGCAAACATCAGACCTCCCCAAACCACATAGCGCCCTCGCCAGATGGGTTGGGCAATTGCAGGTCAAATCTTGGATTTGCTTCAGTTAATTTTAGAGAGTAGATGTAGTAGAGGTAGCAGGGAAGCGCTGGACGCAGGCCGCTACCAATCGATCAACGTGGAAAGCATTAGGGGAGGCCTATGTTCAGCAGTGGACGTCCTATGGCTGACATGATGATGATGATGATGATGAGATGTAGTATAAATGACCTTATAAATAATGATGATACATGAGGTGTTATGTATTACACTTGTACTGTACTCACAGTCAGATATTTATTGGACTTCACGTGCAGCAGTTGTATCACGCTTCCGTACTGCACAATGGTCCCTAGTAGTTTCTTATTCTCCAGCTCGTTCTGCTTCTTTTCTATCTCCGCTGCATGCTGGAATAAGAACACATCAATTTAGCCGTATGGAACGGAAAACGCAGCGTGGAACGTACACCCACAAGGTGGACCGACGTCATCAAAAAGGTAGTAGGAAGGTGCTGGACGCAGGCCGCTACCAATCGATCAACATGGAAACTATTGGGGGAGGCCTATGTTCAGCAGTGGACGTCCTATGGCTGAAATGATGATAATGATGAGCCGTATGGTTCCAGCAGAGTAGCATAGGACCACCAGAAATTACTGTGGGTCATCTTCCTATAGCCAACTGTTTTTACTGGTTGGTAACTATGTATTAACATATCGACGGTGAAATGACAATACCTCCTATAACTGTATTTATTTTTTTGGTTTTCAGGAGAAAGAAAAAAATACGTTTACTTGCGCATATAGCAGCTATTTCCACAAAGTTTTATCAGTTTTATTGTTATCTAAAAACAAATATCAGTTAGGAGAAAAAGGACAATGACCAAAAATGTATGGAGTGTGGTCCAAATGTCCACCACTAACGAAACCTATGTGTAGTAAAATAGTCTGCTAAATACTGATTCATTATAACCAAACCGCAATAAAAAATATGCTGTCAGTAAAAAGTTATGATTGAATGAAAAGTCTGTTTTTTACCTTTTCATCCGAAAAATGTTCTTGATATCATTCTATCCATTGCACATTTTGGACTAATCTACGCATATTATGTCATGTCGCATGTGGCGCGTGGTTATAGATGAATTTTATTAAATATTATACTAGCTGTGCCTACGACTTTGTACGCGTGAAAATAGTTTGAATAATATTTCCCATTTTTACAACATTTGTCTTTACTGCTCCGCCCCTATTGGTTGTAGGGTGATGTTATTTATCCTAAAACCATCCTTGATAAATGGGCTATCCATAACAAATAGAATTTTTCAAATCGGAACAGTAGTTCCTGTGATTAGCGCGTAAACTACTACAATTTTTCAAACAGTCGTAACTTTTTACTGACAGCTTATTTTTTTTTCGTCTCATATGAAAGTTAATCTCTATTTAATGGACTAAAAGCCCATATAGGTCTCATTAGTGGTGGACATTTGGACCACTTTTGGTCATTGTCCTTTCGAATGGAAAAAGTCCACGCGAAATTTAAGCCTATTGTATTAAGAAAATCGATTTTTTTAAATGTTACTTAGGAGGTATTGTCACTATTATCTGTGGCTAGGGTGCGTCACACTGCAATCGCCAATGTATAGTACCTACTCCAATGTATGAATAGTAAGTTCTAGGATACTGAATCTACTTCCTGATTCGCAGTTAGCATTATAATCTATTCCAATGTTTAGTTGTATAAAGTCACATCAAATTACGAGTACATTGTAGTGTACAATGTTTTGATGACTGTAGCTTTCTGATAATTTTGAAGAATTATTATGTCTTTGTAGTTTCCTGACAAATACGAGTATATCTATGTCAACCACAGTCAACATCTTTCACCAGTATTAACCGCATAAAAAAAGCTTTAAAAAACTCTTTCAAAACATAAAGATTTATCCGAGAATAAAATCTGAAATAAAACTTTCTATATCAACACTGCGATCGAAATTAAACAGCGCGCTAAAGAAATCGAGTCTGCCTCGAAGAATCCGCGCCTTTGAAGTGAAATTCAAACAAAAGTTTATAAATACGCTTCAGAAGTGCCACGGGACGGCATAACTTTCTTTGAGTAATGCCTATTTGCCTATGGTAATGCCAAAGATTGGTGTATGTTGTTTTATGGAATATTTTCTACTGCCGCGAACGTCTCTATGATTTATGGGAATTAATATTTTGCCGTGACAAATGTATGTGGTTCATTGGGACTATGCTTTGATTGAAAGTCAAGCATAGCACATGAAGCTAAACACTATGCTATCTTAAGCCTCTTGTATAATACGTACGATTTCGCTAAAAATGTAGTCAGATGTCATTTATGCCCACAAGCGACCTTCCTTGTTCAGTTTTACGAATTGTCACCATATTTTTGGAAATAAATAATTTTCTTTCTATTATCTCAATAAAATAGGAAATCGTAAGATGACATACAAAATAACGGATTCAATACAGTTGTATAGCTGCTGGCATATCCAGAAAACAAAGTGCAGACAAAAGCATAAACTTCAAAATAAAAAGAATAATAATAAAAAAAACCCTGCCTTGCAGACCCATTATTCATGGTTAACACAAAAAAATACAATAATAAATGGTTACAAGTACAAAACATACAAAAGAAGACATAAATTAAGAGATTTCAAAATCGGACGGACGACCTACATTCAAATCACCCAATTAACAATCAAATTAGATTTGTGTCTCCGATGTGATGTAACACCACATTAATGTCACCATAATGCACGCCAAAAGGTTTTAGGGTTCTACCACACTGCTTTGAAAAGAACTTCTATGCGGTTATTTAACAGCAGCTTCTAAAAGGGCAATATTTTTCTGAAATATGAGACTGCAATGGGCTGGCAACATTGCAATATTGCAGTGTCCCGGCCATTTCGACAGCCCGACCCTTGTTGAAGCGTCGCTCCAGGAACTTTACCACCGCCGTAAAGTTGCTTCTCTAACGGTTTTCTACAGGCTACACTTCGGAGAATGTGCGAAGGAATTATATAACTTAATTCCACCAGCCCCTTTCCATCACCGGGGAACCAGACGCAGGCTAGCGTACCATCCCTACATTGGCGACATTCCACCAGCTCGCACTAAGCGTTTCGACGACTCCTTTATAATGCGAACAGCTAGGGACTGGAATTCGCTGCCTGCTGCTGTATTTCCTGAACACTATAATCCGGGCGTTTTCAAGGCGAGAGTGAATAGGCACTTACAGGGCAGATATGTACCATCCTAGACTGCATCTCACTTAACACCAGGTGCGATTGCGGTCAAATACCTGCCTTGTCTAGCATAAAAAAAAATAAAAAAATTTAGGTCCCAAAAGTGCAACTACATCTATGTATACTAATATTATAAATGCGAAAGTAACTCTGTCTATCTGTCTGTCTTGCTTTCACGCCTAAACCACCACCGATTTTGATGAAATTTGGCATAAAGATAGTTTGAATCCCGGGAAAGGACATAGGATAGTTTTTATCCCGGTTTTTGAAAGAAAAGCAAGTATTGTAATAAAATAAAAACATTGGTCATCAAGAAGATCTTTTAGGTTTCAAATCATGCTTTACATTGGATAAGAAAGTAATACAGAAAACGTATTCTTGAAGACATTAACACTTTATTTTATCATAGTAATAAGTTTCTCATTCGTTAAAAAGAGTTCGTTAATTCCTTCAAAAAAAATTTTTCAAAAGTATGTGATTCTCCTGAAATTATTACCTATTGGTATTGTCTATCACTGTCCCTCCTGCAAGCATTTCATTATGAGTGCAAACAAAAGAGATTGAAACTGACTAAAAGATTTGATAAAATTAAAAAACAGTATCTAGCTACATAGTTAAGGAGTAGCTTTTGATAAAACGTGTCTTCCGCCTTACCCTGCTGGTAAAAGATTAATGTATCTGCTGGCAAAATAAACAATGTCGAATGCTCTAATGGAGCCATCCGTCAAAGTGACGACTGCTAAGGACGTAGCACATTTATCAACCCGGAAAGGGATCGTAATCGTATTAACTCCATATTGCAACGCACACTTATCCGCACCGTAACTTAAACATCTGGCCTCGCGGTTGACAGCGCTTGAAAGGCGATGACAGCTCGCGAAAGGCGATACGGTGTTGATTCTTTCCGAGTTGATAAGTCTGCTATGACCTTTATGCATGGAAGTGACACTTCTGTGATTGATAAAGGTGGAAAGCTACAAATATAATATTGGACTTTACAGGGGATATTATAAATTGTAATATAAAAACTTTGATAATATGATTTAGAAAGTTAGACATCAGGGAATACGAGAAAAAGGGTAGTCCGCTCCCGATTAGATCTCGCTTGGGATCTTTCAGCAAGTTAATGACATTGGGAATAGGAGAAAAGGGGTACGATTCCTACTTAGGATCTTGATTGGTTCAGCACGTCCCTATTGGCATTTAACGTTGCATAATGGAGCTATAATGAGGATCTTGGATCAGCTGGAAGGTGGTATAAGTTCGTTTCAGTCAAATGACGTCCACTGCTGGACAAATGCCTCCCCCAAGGATTTCAATAACGATCGGTCCTGCGCTGCTCCCATCCAGATACTTCCCGCGACTTTAACCAGATCGTCGGTCCAGCTAGTGGGGGCCTGCTCACATTACGTTTTCTGGCCCGTGGTTGTATAACTGATAAATGTTGTGCTAAATTGGTGTTGCTAAATTGGCGAAAATGTTATTTATCTTGAAAACTATAGAGTTTTCAAGATAAATAACATTTTCGCGTAGGTACGTTCGCGTAAGAAAAGTCTTGCCGATCATAAATATGTACGTCAGGGAATAACCGTACCGTACTGATTTACTTTCCGGGTTACTTTCTTGGCAGTTTTATAAAGGCGCTTGAATGAATTAATAATTAAATTCGTATTACAACAAAGGCTTTATAGGACCGCCATTTTGACTGATACCTATTTATTTAAACATTCTATTGGAGGGCTGAATTGGTGTGCCATTAAAATACAAAATAAATAAATAATAAATAAATATATCCTTGGACATTTTACACTGCGCTTCTAGTCCCAAACTAAGCAAAAATAGAACGTAAGGAACTAAGACGGAAGTAAAAGTTTTACTTGTGTGTTAGTAAATTGGATTATTTCCATCTAAGTAGCGCTTACGATACATGTAATCCACACTCGAATGCTTACGCCTTATGAGTTAATAACAATAAAATAATTGCTACAGACAGACGGCTAAACATCAGTCTAATTATAAATTTTAATCTCCAAATTGGCTCATTTAGTGTTGATTTGAGATATCGTCCCCAATGTGAAGCGATATATCAATTGTACAGACAACACAACAAGCGGAACTGCAGCATCATACAGGGTGTCCCAAAAAGAAGTGTCGAGCTGAAGCCCAGAGGTAGAGCATCACTAGGGCTATCCGAATCACCCCCATGTATGTTCCGCGATTTTTGCTAGTTTTCGAGTTATGATTGTTTTAAATTTCTGTGCTTAGGCTTAGGCACTTTTGTGGTCACTGTGGCGCGATTTTTTAATTATTATTAGATGAATACTAGGCCTAGCTGATTCAGAAGTATTTACATACATAACACGAATGTAAACTAAAAAAGTTGAAAATGTTGTAAAAAAAAATTAATAACCCGAAAATTATCAAAAGTCGTGCTGATTCGGGTAGCCCGTGTTGCTTCGGTTTGACACTACTTTTTGGGACACCCTGTATAGTTGTATTTAGAGCTATTTTGCAATAAAATGTGTAGTCTATTGTGCTGGTGACTGTACACGGAATTCCCGAGCTCGATACCGTGACATGACAGGCAGTTTCTAAAGACTAGTTTATTGATCGTTAGGTCTTGTATCGCGGAGCTAGATATCTTCTAAAATTGTTACAAACGGAATAAAGACAAATAACATTCAGACACTTTTCTAACATTGTTTAGATACAATGCAGAAAGTTGCATCCATACGATATTGACGATTTTTAACAAACAAAAATTGATTAATTTCATTAACTTTTCTGACTTCTGCATAGGCAAAAGAGATGATGCCCAAAACAGATGTATTTATAGTATCATCAATCAAATGAAATCTGAATTTTTCGGGTCATATGGTGCATAATTAAGTAGCCAAACAACGCCCCTCTTGTAGCGGAGTTTTGGTTTTGGGCTGCCACTGTGTAGGTTTGTTGTCGATACGACAAGAAGAAGAAGTAATTAATTAAGAATTGCCACCCTGATAAAACATCTTAATATATTTAACCAAATTACGCGGTACTTTGCCTTTTAGCCTTTCTCGGAATAAAACAACAAATATACATACACCAATGGTCTACAAGCACTGAATTTTAATTAAGCTGCTTTCTAGCTCCTGGCTTTGAACTACCCCCATCTATTTGCCTGTGCACTGTGACTTGGCGTAACTTGGCACCAGCTGGTAGCAAACAAAAGCGTCCATTCCAATTTCGCCAACACAATGTCTGAGTTCGATTGAAATGTTTTAGTGCGATTGCGACAATGTAAACTGCGCTTTGTGGTGGTAACTAGGGCGAATTCTTATCAGACACCGTTACAGGGCAACATATGTTAGTAGGGGTGATTATTCCATCAACTTTTTGCGATATTACTTTGGACGACGACGAATAAAACTCCAATTTTGTTGCAGAAACAAACCTTGGAATCCCGTTTCACCCCTTCAGGGAGTGAATTTCGAAAAGTTATTTTTTAGCGAATGCTACGTCATAATAACTCTCTGTGTGCAAAATTTCAGCGTAATCTTTCACTGGCTTGATATGACTGTGTAAATATAATAGATCAATCACTATTCCCACCGCTCTTTCCCACCATCTACAGTATAGCGTTGGCCTGCAATAAAACCCAGAATAACAGTGAAGGTTAGGTTGTCCCAGAAGATAAGTATCATGGTGGAACCCACAATGATAAAGTGGCGTTGATAGATCAGTGTGACGGCCTTTTGTACACAGAAAATTTCTGACAAAGCCCATATTATTATTGTAATTTTCTTCTTCTTCACAAGGCCCTTAATGTTTTATGTTACTGACAAAACACATGCGGGTTCGCCCGTCGAAAGGCGGGCGCCACCCGCGTTCATTTATTTTTACGTGGATTTGATTTATAGCATGAATCCGCGCCGTGCGAATTCACTGAACGCAGGTGGCACCGCTTCGAAGAATCACGAAGTTAGGTAGATGTGATGGATTGTTGGGAGACAGTTTCTTGGGAAGTCAAGAGTTATTTTGCTTTGTTGCTCTTTGAAATATCAAAGAATGTGATTCATAGGATAGCGATATGCAACTGATTAAAGAAAATTAGAGATACGGATTCCGACAACGGATCCACCTTTAAAAATCGACTTAAAATTCATATTATTTGCAGGATTCGTTTCAGCAGGAGTAGCAAAGAAGCTTTTATTTGTACTAGCAAGAGTAGCAAGCTTACTTCAGTTATTAGAGGACGACCCCTTAGAATAGTTTTCAGACATTCAGGTCAAGTCGGCATTGTCTTCAAACTGATAAAAGTTACACAATGTTTTTCCTATAGTTTTCTTTTTCCTATACTTGGAAATGACATACATCTTTTTCATTGCTATGAATTACAGAGGATAGTTGTTTATATCAGCGTCCGCCGATTGTTGGTGTGAACAACTAAACCTGGTAGGAAGCTTTTATCGCGCCATTTTATCGATTTTACGTGTTAAACCCATACATTTGTCGTCTAAAATCATCGATAAGATTTTATCACGGCGCCCATCCTAGCCCTACTACTACTGTCTACCTTTTACATCTCTCTAAAGTCCGCTCGCACATTCACTGCGGCTGCTTGTCGCACAGTCGCGACAGCAATATAATTACGCGCGAGCGATAAGGATGGGTAGCTTGGGGTCATTGTACGAAATTCTATCTGCTCGGCGACCGGACTTTAGCATCTAGTATCATCACAAAGGTTCTCAAATAAGTGTATACTCACGTGTAACCTCTTGAGTAGTCCAGTATCGGTGTTGTTGTTGGCAGACTGCTTGGCTGTGTTCCAGAATTGCTTTTGAGCGGAGTAACGGTTCATGGGGCATATCTTGAACAGGCAATCTGGGGGAGGATTCATCACTTAAAACTTGACACGTGAACCAATCACCGATTCATGTTTCTGTTTACTGTTTATGATCTAAAAGGCTGAGTTGCACCACCTAACTTTAACGGTAACTATAATGATAACCGGTGTTTTTGTATCGAGATTGACAGATTTTTGACGTTTGTTAAAGATAAAGTAAGATGGTAATGGTGCCTAAAGCTTAGTTATGCATTTCGTTTCAGCCAAATGATGTCCACGGCTGGACAAAGGCCTCTTCTAAGGATTTCCACAACGATTAAGGACAGTTCCACAACGACTAAGGACAGGACAGTAAAATTTTCCCATGGATGTTAAGCGCTTTCAACTTGAAAAATTCTGAAGTAATGTGAAACATATTCTTATGTTATTATACCTGTAGGGCATTTTAATTAGGTAAACTAAGTGTGAAACTGCCTCTTGTATTCTCTTAGTGTTTTACAAAACTTTACCATTCTAAGTTCCCCGACAAAACGAGCTACTCGTAATTTATTTATCAACGTCACTCGGCGCTTGGGAAGTTGAGGAAGTATCAACTCAACGTGCTGGTTGGTTATAAATTTTAACAATATTTCAAGTTGAAATATTCGCTAGCTCTTGTCCGCGGATTCATCCGAGCTTATGAATTAAATTGTCCAAAACATTTCCTGCATCAAAATGTTGTCCTGACTAAGAAGATATATGTAGATCGTTTCATCCACGAAGACGCGCCCCACCAATTTTTGGTCGAGGGAAGCGTGGGGTGCCGGGAGTTTGATCCGAGCGTCATTATTGTAGTGTGCGTGTGCACTCATGGATGATTTAGCGTGTACCGGTAACACTTAAACATTAGCGGAAGAATGGTGGGGCGCGTCTTCGTGGATGAAACGATCTCTATACTGATGATGACGTTTTAACTAGTAGTAGTTTGAATGAAGTTTGTACATACCCCGGAACTTTTTGGGCGGATCAGTCAGGTCGCCTGCTTCGGGGCAGACCACGCACCTGTCATCTACCAACCTGCGGACAAAAAACATACCTATCAGAAAACATTTTAGCTATGAGTTATTAGGTAGCATGAATTTATTTTAAGCACTTCATTTCCAGACCAATAGCGCATGTTCTACACTATTAAGGAGAGCTTGTATTATGGCATACAATATATGACACCAATGTTCAGTATTTATTATTTCTTCATGTTTTTGCGCGATTGTTTTTTATGTGCTTTTTATTACATTTGCTCTGTGATAATTACTTTCTTTCTACTTTAAACGAAGGCACTTTAAATTTGGTGTTACGGCGGGAACAATATTTTTGTTTACTTCTGCCATAATGTAGAAAATTTCTTACCCCAAAGTACTCAGGAATCCTGAGACTGTGCCCTCTGCATGAAGGGAGACTATGTCCCCTTGATGCAGAAAACTGTCCCCCATCTTCGCACCTTCTCCTTACCCCCACCATGCACCAACACCTGTTGACAAAATTAAAATAACTTTATTTACTTGGTAAGTACCTCCCTAAGTAAAGATGCGGGCAGCGCAGAATCGGTCGTTGTAGAAATCTTTGGGGAGGCCTTTATCCAGCAGTGAACGTCATTTGCCTGAAAAGATTGAGCAAACGAACCTCCCTATATCATATCATCTAATTTTACGTAAATTTAACCAAGCCATTTGTGTCCTAAAAGATGGCATAAGCTTTACATGTAAATAGGTGAATACAGACGGCGCTGGTCCTATCATTTAAGAACATGTCAAAATGTTGAACCATCAATCGACATCATCATCATCATCAGCAGGACGTCCACTGCTGAACATAGGCCTGGTTGGTTGCGGCCTGCTTTTATCCAATCGAAATACCTACTTTTTTATTCTTTTCTCTGAAGTTAGACTCTTAACTCATGGTTTGACGTCACGAATATTAACAATTATTATCACACGAAAGAACAAAGTTCTTAGAACATGGTTCGTACTGCGAAATACTTAATTCGATGACGCATCCATTCACGCGGGAACAATAAATAAACAATGGCGCGAATCAGCGCAATACATTTTTAAACAGTGTGAGATTTATCCGATTGGAAGCTTGTTATTACAAAACGTTCTGAAAAAATAGTTCAGGAATGATGTACGGGACTATTCCCACCTCTCGTTCCCACCGCTGCAACTCCTGTATAGCCAGAATCTACAGCTTGACCGCCAATAAAAACCCAACCAGTGAAGATCAAGTTGTCCCGGGGGAAATTTAAACTTTCATTGGACCCGCAAAGAAATTAATCAGAAAATCATAGGAGTTCGAAGTTAAGGTTCGACTTCCCTCCATTGCAAAGCGGATGACAGGTGATAAACAAAGGTTAAGTAACTTTCAGGAATAGTGTAGTAAGCGATATTTGATTATACTCTCCTATAATTTTTGCCATTTTTTAAAAACAAACTCCTTTTCTTGCTGTTTCAAGACAATACAACCGCCTCAAAACTCAAGACTTGTCTTCTTTTTTTTATGCAGAATCAGGCAGGTATTTGACCGGAATCGCATCTGATGTATGAGATGCAGTTTAGGATAGTACCTATTCATTCTCGCCTTGAGTAGACCCAGATTAAAGTGTTCTAAAGGCAGCGAATTCCAGTCCCTAGCTGTTAGCATTTCACCTGAATCCCAATAATCTCTCATACGTAGTCATTTAAATTTCATCATTACTATTACTAACTATTACGTGAATATTCGAGTAATTTGTTCGTCAAAGGAATTACTTATTAGCAGAAGCTAATGCGGAGTATATGTTGACAGACGACCTTATAAAATATGCAGACGCCATAGTTCCCTCCCGGTGGATGTTAATAGTATTATTGATGCTAGATCTAGTGTAAAATTTCGGGCCCGAAGAAAAAATTGTCGGGAGTTTTGATGTCAAACTGGAATTTTTTTTAAAAGAAAACTTTTGCAATGTAACTTTGATATACTCGTAGTAAATCTAGGGATTAGGCATAGCTATACAACTCTAGCCAGTCACGAGATCTATCTCTTTTGTACACTAAAAAACAACATCCTACAAATACAAAAACAACAAGGTGTCCTATCTAAATCCATACCATTTCATTTTTGCACACAAATGCTTACAGTCATACCTCAACAAATGCAATCGGGATGCTAGCCATTATACAGCATCTATTGTAGGTAGTTACTAGTTAGTGATCGTTGAAAGTCAAGTACATACCCAATTGGGGCTTACGTTAGGCTCGTTAGGCACATATGATAGTTGGGTAGTAATATGTATTTTTTAAGTTATCCAAAAATTTTCCATCAAGATTATCATAAATACTTGCTTCTTCGCGTGTTAAAATGCATATAAAAGTTCGTTTCAGCCAAATGACGTCCACTGCTGGACAAAGGCCTCCCCCAAGTAAACGTAAACACACAAATAAGTTCGCACGACCGTCCAATTTGTTAAAGGATGAAAACAATCAATAAAACAAAACACTAATTAGTTCTCATGCCCAACCAATGATCCAAACTGCCCATTAACTGCTTCTGCAGTGGACATTAATGGGTTAACATGTCGAATTAATAGGAAGCTCATGAAGTCTGTTTCGGCTCACACATGTAGCAATATTCATCATCATCGGTTGTTAATGTAAACACATTACAGCAGCAAAACTACTAAATACCCCAGCTACACTACTTGCAAAGTTGGCCGAAGTTAAAAGAAGTACGCACTTATAATATTTTTTTAAACTATCATTTACTTATTTACTTTTTGGGAAACATACAGTTACAATATAATTTAATTTAATTATGTTGAATTAAGTACGCACTTCACAACATAACAACAATCTTAACAGAATTGTTGTGTTCACGCAGTAGGAAGTAAGATAGCCAGTTCCTTTGTGGTTGAGGATTCTAGGTGAAGCTAGCTTCCACCTTCAGCATTTTCCATCAGATGAGATGCAGATTAGGATCATGGCTACACAGTAGGAGTTGCAGCGGTGGACAAGAGTGGTGGGAATAGTCCCGTACCCTACTCGGCTAACTTCAGTACTTCGTCGAAGCGCGTAGTGTGGCTGAAGCATACATAAGTTTTGGCCACAAGCGGTCGTGACACAGTAGATAAATAGCTCATATATCTACTGTGGTCGTGATGAGATAAGCTCATATCGAGTCTTAATTAACTGCCCGTACGGATGTTTGTTTGGGCAGCCACTAACCAACGGCGATGTGAATATTTTACTCATTTATATTTTACAGGTAATAATAGCAGTAGAATTTATTAATAAAATGAGTAGCTTGAGATTAACGAGATCAGTTTACTCATGCATCATTTGGTCAATAATAAGGAGAGCTTGAACGATTTGGCGGACTTAATTTTATAGAGCAAGAAATAGCAGAAAGCGTTAAAACTTCTAGGTCAAGACTGAAATTTAAGCGGGCAAAGCCGCGGTCACAATTAAGTTTAATGTAACTTAGCTACTCTGCGTTGTTAAAATAGTTCACAGTCTAATTTCGATGAATAGTTTAGTCACCATCTTTATCAAAGGGTCTTACAAAAAAAATACAGTAAAAATACAGAAACTAGAAAGAAAGATTTACGATATGGTGTCGAAATCATTACGACCTGTTACGACCTAATGATCAATGTCCTACGAAAGAAATATGGCTGTGTTGATGAAATGCTGACAAAACTTGTCAGCGTGATTACAATATATTGATCCCATCAATAACTATTTCTCATAAAGATTCTGTCCATCAGAGTCTACGGCCGACGGCTAAACCAGTGTTGCCAACTCGGATTTTAAAAAAGTCGTAGGACAGATTAGAAAATTACGTAGAAATGGTACAATTTCCATATAAAAAATACGTAGATCTACGTACTTTTTTTTCTGAGTGAAATGAAGAGAGTAGGGGTAGGTAAAAGTAATAAAACGACAATTTATATTACCCTAAAAGTAGTAAAGTACACTTTTATTGTGTATCATTTTCAGACAAATTAAATTTATACATAATTATATTTGTTGGAAAGAAGGAAGGAAGTTGAAAAATATCGAAATAAAACAACACCTTCGAAATCTTAGCACAATCTTAGTTCGACATATTTTTATAGTGTCAGTGACATTTACAGGGGGCGCTGTACAGCATTTTTTCTATGGGGAAAAGTCAAAATAACAACCGTGATCGGAACCATGATCGAACTTTTTCGCGTAAGTAAAGGAAACGATGTCCATTCAGCATATTTTGCAAATTTGATAGAAAATGCGTAGATTCTGGGACTAAAGTTCGTAGGTTTGCAAGGAAGGCTTAAAATACGTAGATCTACGTAAAAATACGTAGAGTTGGCAACCCTGTAATATTGGGGAATTTTATTGTCATACTACCTAATTGCTTGTTGAGTAATTACTTATTTGTGAAGATATTCAGTTTGGAAAATGTACTTAATGTATTAAAGTACTTACAAAATAATACTGAAATCAGTAGCAGTAGAATTGAATTTTATCTGAAACTTTGTTCTTAGGCTGGGTTGCACCACTCAAATTTGACCGTAACTTTGACGATAACCGGTGCTTTTTTTATGGATTTTGACAGCTTTTTGACGTTTGTCACAGTTAAAGTAAGATGGTGCAACCCAGCCTTAGAGTTCTTTTCCAACGAAACTTTGTAAAGTTTTATACAAAACGTCAAATACGTTGGACACAAATTGTAATGTTTGGGAAGAAGAGCAGTGAGTTAATCAGGAGCTGCAATAACATACATTCTGTAGTTGTGCCTTTAAATAAATAAATAAAAATAATATTAATGTAATTTATTTGCTGCGTTTTCTAAATCGCTAATGGTACTCAATGGTGCTAAATCTGTGCTTAAGGTACTCAATCATTCCATGCAGTTTATGCTTCATTAATTGTTTTCTTGTATTTGTTCTCAATTTGGTTAATACGTTGCAGGCTTGAATCATCCTGAATATCAGGAAAAGAAATATGATTCGTGATTCAGAGGGCACGTTAAGGCGGTCTGATTGAGTCATGGGGTTCATCAAGTTTCACACCAGGAAACTCAATTGTCATAATTCACATGAAAGAATAATTACCTAAACCTTTTGGATCGAATCAATTAGCTTTAGATCAAGTATTACTTTTAATCCGCCTATATTACGAAATTATGCGAATCATTCCAGTCATGCTTTAAACATTAACCGTAGAATATTGTCATCGACCACCAGACCAACACTAGTGTTGAACGAAATTATTTAAAGGAAGGTGTAAATTTAAAACCACAGCTGAATAACAAGATGGGAATATTTAATTAAATTTTAATCCAATCCCACAATTCTGAGGTAGCCGATAATAAATAAATTACTTGCACATCATTTCAATCCACTGTAATCGGTTGACGAAATCCGGGTGAAACAAGAATTATATTTTAATTTTGTACAGGTATTGGGAGAAACCGTAATTAAAAGGTCCCAAAAATTAAATGTGTCAGACTGTC